CCACGAAGAATGAGTTACTTTCCAAATGTGAGTCAAACAACGAGTGCTGTCCTCACATGTCACGCATTTGAGCAGTTCGATTTGTGGAGACTTGTTTATAATGAGATACAGTTAAGTGTAAATAAAGAAAGAGTTCTAAACAGAGAGTGGTAAGGCCTTATTGCGAAACAAACTGATCTAAAATCACACCAAGAGATCAGGTTGAAGAGGCTGGCATTGCTAGCTTGCAAACCAACAGTGTCTCACACCTATGAGCAGCATATTTCGGCCCCGTGTAAACTACTCATAGATATAAACAGGACAAATGAAATGGAACTAGGATAAATCATGCCTCTATAGTTTGTGATTCAAAATCAGTAAGAGGACTCTATTAAACAATGCCCAAGGTCAGAAACGACAATGAAGGCAGTTTCCGAATGTCCGTCGGACAATAAGTGCTGTCCTCATCTGTCACGCATTTAATCAATATTCAAGGGAAGAGTTCGGCAAAGGAACTTGGCAAGACTTGACTGCACAGCAAACTCACCCATGAGCATCTCGTACATAATCACACCAAGAGACCACCAATCACAGGAACACTCGTAGCCCTTTTGATGATGAAAGACTTCCGGCGCGATGTAGTCTGGCGTTCCGACCGTGGAGTAGGCCTGGAGAACAGAGAACGAAGGAAGCGAATACACATAAATCACATTATGGTAGGCTAGCGCTACAAGAAAACACCCAACAGACGCATCCAACAAAGTTAGACGATGAAGAACTTTTTTTCTTACTTTGACCTTGAAATTCTTAATCAAGTACGCTAACGACAATAAACACCACCTAGACGAACGCTGTGCTACCTTACGTGACTACTTTGCACATTCGAGACATGTGAACTACTCGGGTCCGAGTGAAACAGCTCAAAGTTTTAAAGTCTAAATGTGGAAAAACACGTGAACTTTGAGCCGTAGTGAGCAGTCGTTCATACGGGTGAGAACTGGATTTAGTGAAGACAAAACACACTAGCACGGGGCCGCTCAGATGGACAGAAAATCAGCCGCCCTGTTCATCCTTGCCCAAGGTGAGATTCAATCAATGAGGGATTTTCTGCATCGAATTGATTTCCTCGCAATGTGGCGGTACTATTTCGACATCCTCCCTCGTCGCCGTTACCGAATGCCGTGTGGATAGTTCACCAGAGCACCGTTTAGTGACAGCCCTAATTAAACACTGAAACACATGACCCCGCACTCGTGTGAACACCACCTGACTCCTAATGACCCGCGCTAATGCCACACAATTAACAATGACCTATAAACAACGACGAGAATCAGGCATTTTCGATCTCCACACCCGGTTCTATATCGAGTCCAACGTGATCGTTTGGTACCTCAGCAAACTGGCGCGCTCCCCTCAACACAAAATGGTGACAACATTAATCAACTGACACCTGATGTCAATCGTCTTAAGGCGAGCTTCGGGCATGGTCAATGAACGCGCTATTTGATCTTTCTGTTACCCAGAAGCATTCATGCAATGAGTAAAAACGAATTTTGATGCTAAACTACTTATTAGCGCCAGTGCCGACTTGTTTCAAAAAGGGCGTACGAGGACGCTCGCACGATCATCAGCTGGTGACACGCGCGCACTCACGTGACAGATGGCGCGATTCTAAGTCGCCACATTCCTCGGTGCGCCGCCTGTGGGCTCATTTAAAACGCCTCAAGGTCGCACGCGAGGTCATTAGTTCTGGCGTTGCAGGGGGAATGGGGTTAATTGGGGCAAATTCCAACTTACCAGGTACCGTCGGTTCTTCTTCCAGCTTTCTGCGCGCCGTCGAGAATCGAGGAGGTTGTAGGCTAGGGAGAGAGGCATTGAAATAATCCACCACACTATAAGTTTCGGAACTCGGAGAAAGAAGGCGTCACACAACTAGGTGACCCAGTTAGTGACGAATAATCAACTTAAAGCCATTTTCTCGCAAACCAGGAACCGTAATGATCAATTTGACGGTCCATTAACTGCGATTCTCTCTTTCTCTCTTGGCAAAATTGGCACCCGCATGACACGAAAGAGCGGAATCATGATCATAATTAGCCTGCCATTAAATTTTCGCAGCCGTAAACGTCGAATGTGACGAAATGGCTAAACAGTCTTGCCGAGAGTTCTGAAATCAGCAAGCACAAGAATTAATAAATACAATCGACGTGGCGTTCTCAAACTTAAGCAGACCAACTCCTTAACTAAATTATCGTTTAACCCGAATGCGGCAAAAACAAAACCCCAACAGTGTAAAAGAATACAGCAGGTAAATTTGGAAAAATCTCAGGAGATGCGGCGGAACTTCTCACAAACGAGGTTGATCAAACCATTAAAGCAATCACTTTTTTTAATCTTTAATCGAGCATAAAAAACTGTGAGAAGGACAGGTATCGCTGGAGGTATGGAGGTGGGGCTGCACAATAAGAGAAACCCAAGGAACGGTCGTGCCACCAAAACATTACCACGAGTCTGCTCTTAGTACTAGCAACAATTCGACGGCGTCCTACAGGTTAAGACAACAAAAAAAGGCCAAAGTTGACGTCACAGGACTAAAACAGACTCCCGCTTGGAGGCCATTACAGGGTGTAAACATCCGAACAATTGGGCCACGAAAATGCGACACGCGGCACTAAGCTTGAATACAGAAAAAAACAATTGCGTAAGCAATACCAGTTTAGCGCATAAACGACGACCAAAAGCCGTGACCCACACACTTGAGTGTACTTTGCGTCACCGTTGCAGTCATTAACAAGAAAACACGTAAACGGCAATTAGGCTTTTATTTCTAAACATTTCCGAAGAGTAAATAGGCCGTTGGAGCTGGTGAAAATGAAACGATTTTAGGGCTACGAATACAATCTCGATTGAGACAAGCGGCAGTTTTTGACTTGGATCGTTGCAAACAAATTCCCCATGACAAGCACGCATGAATCAGGTTTTTCAAAGTAAGGGCTACTCCGTGGACAACGGCAAGCTAACGCCGGTATCACTTAGCCTATCCTTCATTCAACACTACACTACGGAACACTAGCTACACACACACACACACGCACACACACGGGAAACGATCACGTTTGCTACTTCAGCTGTAAGCAAGCCCAATTGTTTTAAAAAGGCGTGTTTTTATGCTTGAGTGGGTCATAGGTTCACTAGTACTCCTCGTCAAAACGCTAAGCTTGGAACCGCACACTTGAAGCTCGAAAAGACTCCAGCCGGTTAGATACAGCGGAACGCCACGCCAATAAGCGAAGGTCGTGAAACGCACACACTCACACACACGCACACCAAATATCGGAAAAGTTTGCGCAGTTTTGCCGCCCCATCTAATTAGAGACTTGACTTTACGCACTCGGGGCACTGTTCACGTGTCTTTTTATACCCGAGTGATACAAAACAAGCCGGCTGAAGAGACACGGTCAACCCGGAGCCAGAACAACCGCCTTCGGAAAATGGAATCACTTGACTAAGTGGATCCACACCAGAATTTCAGTTTTGTTGACGGCGGAGGAGGGGAGTAATGTGGCAGTGGTGGGGGACATCTACATCGGGACAAAATGCGACGAATAACAGGGCCCTTTGTAAAAGCCTCATGGCCACTAGGTGGCTGATTCCCAGACTGCAACCTAAAGCACTTCTCGACATCACAGAGGAGGTGGTCGTGTGGGCGTGGGGTCGATCACCCATTGAAACGGCAGGTGAAAGCGCGCGTGTGTGAGAGCTACCGGGACTAAAAGTTCTCATCAAGCAGACGATATGCGTAAACTGCGAGGCCTCGTTTGATACAGGCCCACTTTCTCACCAGCAGCGCACACAGCACAAGTTGGGACCTCCACAAATCAGGTCAGGACAGCGTTACGACGCCACGAAGAGAAGCAGGTATGCACGAGAATATTGCGGGCTTATGAATCACTTCGAGCGCAGGCTCATTAGGCGAGTAAACAGCGCAACACTCAGAGACGGCGTCATGGGTCCACGACACGCAAGCAAACTGCTAGACTTACCGAAATCGCTGGGAAGGGCTTGTGAAAGATCTTTGTAGAATTCTGTCCGATGAGCCTTCTTCAGACCGGTGCAAAGACCGAAGTCACTTAGCTTCAAATGACCCTAAGGAGGTGAAGAACAAAAGAAGTGGCACATAAATCTCCTGCCGTTAGATCATCTCGTAGATGCAGTTGACGTTGCGGAGTCAGACACGAATTTTTTATGCACAGTGGTACGACACAACTCGGTTGACATCAAGTAAACGGCTGTCTCCCTCGCATTCCATCGCACCTCTTCCCTGGGTGGTTTGAGCTGTATTGGGACGCAGCAAGTGATTTTCTTAACTGTTTATTGCAGCTAGATCCGTAAAAAACATGGCAGATGAGATTGGTAGAGGCTGTGAATGTCCCGAAAAGGCCACAGCTGCTACTCCGGCAACACCCAACTCGTAGAGCAGCCGATTATGGGGAACATCTGATGTGAAGCAACCTTAAAACATGCGAACTTTCCCTGGGATGGCCTTCTTAAGTTGAATAACGTGTATGTGTTGAGCGACGTTCCTTTTGTGCTAAGTTACAACCCCACTCCGGTTGTAATACGCAGAAGGGGGAAACTCCGCTTGTCGGCCAATGTGGCACTGCAATACCTACTGCTCATAAGACGTAGCCTCGAACGCAGCCAATTACGTTGGTCTAAGCGATTCGACAATAGCACACATCGAAATAAATACTGTTAATTGGTCTTTACCACTCCCCACTAATACACACAAAACAAGCATGACATGAATAACACTTGGAGCTTGGGTTCAGGAGCGGGCTGCGACGCCGTGAAGAGAAGGACAGCGTGTCAGAGAATGAAACGGCCAGGTTAATGACCGTGAATCAGCACTATTCAATACAATGGCTCACATCCCCAGACTAGTAGTGTATCGGTGCGACACAGTAATGATGATTGCAGTCATAATTTGACTCGTGTCATAGGCAATTCAACAAGAGGGGTTGGTTGCATTGCGAAACAGGCCCCAACACAAGGTGACGACGAGCCTACTTAACGTTAGCCCTCATCCACGGAGAGGTCGTACAGGATGGGCTGTAACAGCACAGCAAGGTCAATCAAGCCTCAGAAAACCTTTGATGACAACACGAAAAACCGCTGGAGTTACCTGATTATGAGTCAGAGTGGAATAAAAAAGGCGAAATACGAACCTTAGAGTCGAGGAGGAGGTTATCGGGTTTGATATCACGGTGGATGAAGCCCATTTTGTGGATTGAGTCAATGGCCAGCACCGTCTCGGCGACGTAGAACTGGGTCTGGGGCTCGGTTAAGGTGTCCAATTTGATTAACAGGGTCATCATGTCACCTAGGATACATACAAGGGGGAATAAATTGGGCGCTAGATCTCAACTGGTGATGAAGTAGATGGGGAACGTGTGTGACGAGGGGTAGACATTGAAACGTGACCAAATAACCATGTCTTGAACGACGCCATGGATATCTACCTAATAAATTTACAGCACTTAACGATGGGAGGTGGAACTCCAAAGCTGATCACGTTTCCAGTGAACCAACACGAGCGTTCAGATGCACATGACTTCACTGGCAAATTTGCACGTAATTGTTGCAATCATAGCCACGGGATACCTACACAGTGAGTGTGCGTGTGGCGGAAACACCTATTTCTCATCTACGCCAGTTCATGTGTGTTGGTGAACACCTGTAGACGGAAATTGGAAGCGTTGAATGAACAGGAGGCGGTGAATTAATACAAAACACAACCAAACTCGCCCAATGAAAGACGGCTACCTATAACTCAAAACAACTGTAGGCCACTTAAAAAGACGTAAAACACTTGAAGGTGTGCATTTGGGCCAGACTTTTTTTAAAGAAAACTCTGCCACTTTAGCATGGAAGGTTTTGTTCCGCGAATGACACTCAAAAATATAGCAAATAAGGGGCGTTGTACAAGGCCGATCAAAGCCGTCTCCAGTGGATCAAAACTTGACTTCTTTGGCAAACCAACAGGTAATTGGTGCGATCGCAGCCACAGAATATCTTCGCAGTGAGTGCACGGTGTCCACTTGGGTCAACGTGTGTACGTGTGTGCTTAGCAGTCGGTGGACATCCGTAGGAAGCTTTGGTGAATGAACACAGGATAAAAATAATCCACGATTTATACGAAAACGGTGTGGAAATAGACGGATCCAGGTAGCCCAATGAAAAGAGGGCCGCGCATTACTCAAATCAACTGTAATCAACTTAAGGAGCCGACAACAAGTAGTGGTTTTAGTCGGTCATTTGACATCTTTCGTGAGCAAACAGCCAAACTGGAGACCTCCGGGAAAGGAAATGGTTTATAGGAGGAGGAGGACGTTTAGCAGATGAAATTCCTAACACCGGGTAGATCGTGTCAATTAATTTGGCGCAAATAATCCTCAGCTTTGTTTTCGCGCAATTCATTCCTCCCCAAAATGGACATTAACCAGGTTATTGCCTCACTGAGAATTCCTAAACCGCTCTCTCAACTGATGTGGGAAATAAACAAGCAAACAATAAAACGGCACTCGCGCTGCGTGTGATTGACATCAATGCAACCACTTCGTATTTACCAGAAGCCTGTTGATTAGGGAAACATCGGTTTGGTAATTCAAGATTAGTGGTTAATGCAGACAGACGGGTTTGTCTGAAAAAAAACGAGCCCGAATAACACGCTGAAACTGAATGAGTGAACTTAGGATGGATGGATGTTTGGAATCGGGAAAAAAATACGACTCGTGCTACACAGAGAGAAACAGGCTGCGTCTTGCCGATCTAAGGCAACCACTACCTAGCACATTCCAACGGACCAATAGGAACGCACCACGCATCTCCGTGTGACAGTGGTATTAACGCACGCACACACACACACTGCCGACACACAAAGGCACAATCAAATGTGAATTGAGAAAAACCCCGAACAGAACTGAACACACGTGGACAAAGCACGCCTGGCGATTTCACGAGGTCGGAATTGAATTAGCCAGTAAAATATTGGGGCGAGTATATCAGTGATTCAATTTACAGCCAAGATACACAGCAAAAATGAAGGAAATTGCGATAAACAGTTCATCAAAAAGAAGTGCTGAAATCTGCGCTAGGTTAGTCAGATCATGACGGGTAACCAAATTGCGATATTTGAGATGAACTAGGAGTAAACTAAACAGGTGGAAAGGCACAAAGAAATGGCCTTGACGTTGTTAATTCACTGCCGTGAACGTTGTTTGTCATGTTTTTGCTACTGCTTCTCATGAATTAAACGTAAACACTGCCACTGCATTCCCAACATCAAGCAGAATCGCGAATGTCGGCAGCGCAGGGGGACGCCGAACGAGGAAGCAGCGATGATGGGCAGATGACAGCCGCTCAGAACAGGTCTCCAGGGTGCAGAATGAGGTGGAGTAAATTTTCGCGACTTTGGAAGGACGAACCAGGGCAAAGGAGGGGGGGTGAGTGGAGGTGTTTAGTAGGATATTGATCCTCTAGTGTGCGCTCATCCCAATTCCCGCTGGACTCGTTGCTTGGCGCGAGAGAATTAAGAAAAGAACGCACCTGCGATTCAACCCAAACGCACGCAGGCGCCAATTTCAAGATGATTCCTGGAAAATTATCCCGTGGACGAGGGCCAATGGTTGTTACTCTGGCACCGTCCCGCGGTGCAAAGCACATTCCCCTTTTCCCCTTCACGGCCAAATCACGTTCTAAATTCCAGCACAAACACGTCACGATCGCCGTAAAAAAGAGACTACGCACAGCCTGGAGACGCCTTGGTCACGAGCTGTGACGCAAACGGAGGCTGCCAGGTTGCTCGACTATGTGACGCCACCGGCGCACGCAACCACCGCAGATATGATGACGGTGGTACCACCAGCACATTGGTGTATTACAATGGAGTGTCAAGTCACGAAAAAAAAGTAAAATTTCGACACTTTTTGCGATTGGTACTGCGGCGCTATCTACGGAGAAGCTGCAACACAATGGTTGTTTACACGTTTTGTAAAAAAGCCACTTTCTGATCGCCCTCCTAAGTTTGGCTAAAATAACACCTTGTTGTCAATTGCAATCGAGTTTTCTTGTATGGAATAAATAAAATGTTATAAAAAGAAAGCGACCCAGTGACGTAAATAAGCAATAACCGTACTTTAATTCAAATGGATGGTCTCATTGATAACGGATTCAACTAGCTTGGCGGGTGTGAAGTGGTCAAATTTTTGTCCAGCTTTGACTCAGTTAAGAGGCTGAGTGAGGTGAAGTTGAACGAGGTTTTTATTTAACCTGTAAGCCAACCTAAGGCGGTAAAATTGACAACGAAGTGAAAACCAGGACGAGAAAGCATCAATCAACTCGCACCGCTGAATACCGAGGTTGGGTAAGAAAGCTAGCCCCTTAGAAAGACCACTTGCAATGTGGACTACGGAAAATCGGCATACATGTTAAGTGGGTTGTGAGATGAACGTTACGGGCAGTAGACGAAGTAAACCGACGATCAGCGTCGAAAAATTACGAGTGGATCAACGTGCTGGTTAACTTGGAGGGAAGTTTACTCGAAGGTGATTTAAGCTAAGTCAAATCAACATAACGGTCTGCCGCACGGTTCAACAACGCCACGGAACCAACGAGTGCCCGAAACATCAAAAATGCACGATACCGACAACTAGAACCATCGACAGAAAGTTGCCAAGTCGGCCTGATTCTAAAAGAGGGGCTGTGAGAGGACGCCGTTCGATCTGCGGAGTCATGTAACTTTGTTAAAGGCAGGCGAATAATTGCGTAGATATGAGGGCACGACGACTGCATGAAGACGAATGCGCGCACTGGTGCGAATACACTTGACCTCAGATAGCCGAGTTAATTACAAAATGCACGCGTAACGGCGAGGTTACGCAGAAACTGGCTCGGTAACAGACAAAAGCAGGGTCTAATCAATCAACAAACAAAACCAATGTGGCGCAAGTGATTAAGGCGCGGAGCCAGGCAAATCTCTGAACTTGTGACTGCTGAAAATGAAGTGTCGAGAAGTGGGCATTACAGGAAATGACGACCATAGGCTCGATTCTAGGTTCGTCCAACGCAACCTCACACACTGGAGGGAGTGAAGTGTGCGGTCGCAAAGGAAACGAATTCCATGAAGTACTTAACTGGCATGCAAAAAAAGGGAGAACAACGCACCACCCGGGAGAAATTCCATGACAAGATAGAGGTTTACGGAGTCTTGGAAAGAGTAGAACATCTTCACCACCCACGGATTGTTGGCCTTGACGAGAATGTCCCTTTCCGCACGAACGTGGGCTATCTACGAGAAAGAAGAAAGAGGCATTAGGTGGGTTTGATTGGCTTGGCTTGCCTAATTCCATGCAAATTTGTGGCTTTGAACGGGACAAAGTTTGTCGGGCCACCTGATTGGTTGAAAGGAGGGGATCCGATTCGATCTGCGAGACCAACAGCGACGCAAACAGCAAGTGGAACTACGGCATTCACACCGTGATAACGGCTGTTTCAGAGACTGCGATAAAAACACTTAGACGCCTACCTGGTCCTTTTGGCGCATATCAGCCTTGCGGAGGATTTTCATGGCGTAAATATACCCGTTGTCCTGTTTCTGGACTAACCGCACCTACAAGAGGAAAGACAAACATTTAAAGAAGGGGGAACAACACCCAATGGTTGCGGAGGGGAGAGATTCGACTGGACATTTTTTAACATTGCATCAGAGACCCGACGTGGAGAGTTGCTTCAGTCGATGTGCACGAAAGTGCGCTCAGGACGCTTGTGGTGACTTGAAGTCACCAATTGACGGGTGCAGAGGCAAAACGCACCAGTTTTATACCTCGCAACAACCACTTCGTTACATTAATAAGCAAAAGGAAGGGAATGGGGTACCTAGCCAGCAACAGAAGCACAGATATGAGGCTCTGATTAGACTAACCAATGAGAACAAATAAGTGGGTTTTTTTTTATCTTGAAAAAACCCAGGCCTTGTTCAAAGTAACAGAGCTGACGGTGCGTTAGTTCGGTAGATAAATTGAAGGGAAGTAAATTTGAAAGGGACTAGTACAAGTTTGAGCGAGGGTTAACCAGTCAAGTGAAGTGGACAGGCACATTCTTTGATTCCTTTCCCCCAGTTCTGACAGAAATCAAGAGAGGACGCGGGAGGAAAACAAGCATCAAGCTGCAGCCTGGGACAGAACGCTATCAACGTGGAAAAGGGATTTAAAGAGAAAAGTAAAAATCCAAATTGTCGCTCGGGAAGGATAGAACAAGAAACGCTTCGTGATCCCGGAAAACCGTTGTTGCTATTTCACTAACACTCGCACTTTAAAAGGCCTGTAGCAATCGAGACGTGAAGAGGTGTTTTGCACGAGGTAGAAGAACAACAACCTTACGTGTTTGATTTGATGTTCCATTAAATGTCCCCTTAACTAGGGCAAAAGCGTGACTCTGTCTAATCCAGCCGCGAGGCGCTGTGCATCAACTCAATCTTATGTTCTACCTAACGCAGACTTGTAATTAACCAAAAATACTGGTGGTGCAGGCTGATCAAATAGACAGCCCGGACGTGAAGTAAACAGGCGTCGAGGTTCGGGTGCGGCGCCAGAGCAATTGTCGTGGTAGATATGGCGGCACTGAAAAGTGCAGTGGTGCGTGGATGTGAGAAAGGAATGAGTGCACTTTAACCACCACAAAGGTCGCGCTTGCGTACACACACCGGCACAAATTGACTTCACATGAATACACCCACACACACCACGAGTGCGTGCGGGAACATGGACAACACGAGAAAGGGGTCAGCAGACTTCCACATGCGTCGCTCATTCTCACATATCGACTCTAGGGGCAAGTCGCTCACCACAGAACGAAGGACGTGGTTCTGTGGAAAGCATGCGTGGCGTTTAAATCACAGCCACTAGGCTGCACTAGCACGAACTGAGTCGACGTGAGTAACGAGGAAAACAGCCTTGGGGCGAAGGCAGGCCGATCGTAAAATGCAGCGAATGGCGTAACAGGTGGACCATCAACAACCGCAGAACCGGCGCCACACGTACTACGGCAGCTCGCGCAAACTAACACAGCCTAGACCAGAAGTCGCTCATGAAAAAAATTAATTACAATCTCGGGTAAAGAGGACGCATGAAATAGGATTGAATGTATGATTGGTTATAAAGCAAATTGATGGGAAACCTCCCCATTTTCCACAATTCTCCTTTTCCGTGCTTATATCAGTTTCGTCTATCCAGAAAAAAATAACTCAGATTGTTTTATTTATTCATTACTTTTGGCGCTAAACCGACAAGAACAATTTACAATTTCAAATTCGCCAGTTGAGGAAATCACAATTCTGCTTGAGGCTGGAATGCACAATGCTCGTGAGTAGTGAATAACACTTCAGAGTAGACCGGCTATAAATAAATTGCAGATACCTGGAGTCAAGTTCACGCAAATACCACCTAACCACGAGGAACGCAAAGGCAGATCACTTGGCGTAGTTAGGGGGTGAAAAGCGCTACTATCCTACACACCTTTCCGAGCCATACCAGCTCATCAGGTCAGCGAGCGTTTAATTTCCCTCGTTGACGACAGATTAAGGTCACGTCCGGTTAGTACGGTTTTGTATTTACCTAAATGAAATTTCGAACAAAGCAAGCCATCAAGCTGGAAAGGGAGCTAGAGGCACACAATTACATGAAAACACCCAAGTTTACTCGATTCGCGACTTTCGTGAACAAGCCAATACACCACAGTGTGTAGTGACCTTTCGCGGTTTCTACAACGCTCGCAGTTCTACCTCATGTACCGATGTTGACGGTTGAAATCGCTGTATCGGTGTAACCTGCAGGTTACAATCGGGCGGTAAGAGTCGGCGATAAATAAGAACAAAGAGCTTCCAGTCAGGGGCATAAATCAAGCCTAAACGAGAGCACAGACTGCCCAGTACCGAACTGTGGATCCGAAATCATGTTACGCCCAGAATGAAAGTAACGCCACAAGAAATTCAGAGTGGCAAGTGTGTTTGTGACATTAAAGTCTTCATTATGATTCGCACAATCTTCAAAAAACCCAAGCTTTCACTCAAACATGGAAATTTTCCCTTGAGGATCTGGGGAAGGCGTGCTAGTTCAATAGAGTAGGCAATTTTGATGGGGAAATGTGGCCGTGTAGTGGACAAAGCCGTCTTTTTTACATGCAGATGGAAGCCTATTTTGAGGACTCGAGTCTTCAACTCGTGTGAAAGTGTGTCAGAAGGAAGAGTCCAGTGGTGAGTGAAAAATAACAGGCAACAGAAGAAAAAGCCAAAATTGGTTTTGAAGGGATTACGAACAGCGAACGACATTAGCATAACCAAATGGCCTGTCGTTTCAAAGTCACTGAGATTTGGGAGCCCACGTTGGACCCGTAAACAAGAATGAATATTTGGCATTTTAATGACGTTGGCGAGGAAATAGTAAAAAGGACAGTTGAGTAGGTGAAGACAGTTAAAGGAGAACAATTAAGGGACGTTAAGCGGTGCTTGCGAGGCAAACCCACCACGAATGACCTTGACGGAAAGTCGTTAGGAGTGGTCTGCTCGCTAATCACCCAAATGAAACTCGGAAAAACGTGGTTAAGTTAGTCTATTTAACACAGCCAAATCAACCAAAGGCACAACAGAGGTTTTGGTGGTAATAAGCTCATATAAATGTGCAAAAAACGCTAAAATATTTGCTTGTTTATGAGAAAAATACAAAGGGCCTTCCCTTCAGTACCTTAGATAACATGGTAATGTAAAATGTTAGAACATGGAAATTAGTTCATCATGTATAAAATTAGTGTTTCACATAACGAATACAACGCGGTATACATTTCTGGACTCGAGTTCTCGAATGCGATTTTAAAATATAAAATGTCGGTGAATGGAACAACCATAAATTCCCGTTCCTAATCTACGACAAAATGGCGGGTGTGGATGATTGTCTGCACAAAGCCCGTGAATACATTTGTAAAGACCAATGTCGATTGCGACATGAGGGCCAGTAGACAAATGAATTAGTATCAGCAACAGCTGAAGCCCACCGAGTACAGAAGAGAGAACAGGAGTGACTGGTGATTTGCATAAGTAATTAATGCATTCGTACGCCCATTTAAGGCAAATGAGTTTATATATATACAAGAGTATACATGGTTGAGAATAAAACGGGTGTTAATTCTGTCCGATCCAAATATTAAAGTGGAAACAGTTAAAATTTTATGGGGGCAAAACGGCAGGTGCGAATAGCACGAAAGATTGTGACTCACTTCACCAAAAGCACCCTTGCCAATGACTTTGAGGGGAGTGAAATCATCTACGGTGAGACGAGCGCGTTTGAGACGGAGGTATTCACTCTCCTTCAGGGCGTGCTGACATCGTTTTTGTTGTTTCTGTAAATGGAACATGAAGGTAGTGATTGATGCAATCAATGCGTTCAGGTTTATGGTAGTATAAGACGAAAAAGCACAGAAGTCTCCTTGCGCCAAATCCCAGGGTTACTGAGGGATCTTGGGATGGTGTTACCACGAAGACTGCGAATGTGCGACACTCAAATCGGCACTGACTTATTGGAGGACAGGCGGCAAGCCACTGCACAGGCTTGAACAATTCAAGCGTTTCATAAAAATGACTCACTTGATCCTCAGTTAGACCTTCGGACTCCATCATACATTCCAATATTTTGTATCTAAAATGAGAAAGACGAACACGAATTAAGCATTTTTACTTGGGAATTATAAATGGGTGGAAGCGTCCAAAAAAGATGTCACGTGAGTACGACTCCCTTCAGGTGTGTAAATCATTTATATTAAAAATAATGAAAGTGAAATTTTCGTGACCACAACGGAAGTGTTTGTAAATTATTACAGGGTTAAAAAATTATTCAGAACAATGTAAGGTATTGAAAAACGAGAAACTGCACACCTGTTCTGACGGTCTTGAAACTGAGTGGCGAGATTGTTATAAAAGTTCTCAAGGGTAACTTTAGCGATTTTCACGCTGTCCAAGGTGCGGCTACTGACAGCGAATTCACGTCCACCATGTGACGGTAACGGCTGCATATGAGATGAAGAATTTGGAAGAAAGGATGTAGATGCAGCTCGGCTGCTATCTTTTCCTACCGATCCTGACTCGCTGGAGGTCATACTAACCAAAATACGGGCTTTCAATGACAAATAACCTAAAAACGAAGGGCAAATATAACCAACTGGTCAAAAGTGCAACACAAAAGAGGTGTGGAACTATTTTGATCAATTTAGTAGCAAGAATAAAATACGAAAGTTATACCACCGAGATAATGCAGTTCTAAAAAAAGTATTATGTTAGTTTGAAATTAATTGGAAACTACATTAGGAAGATGTATTTATAACAACTAAATATTGTGCAGATCGTAAATAAGAACGCAACATAATTTTTTTCCAAACAAACTACATACAACATGGAACAGCAAAAGACGCTCCAGGCTTACGTTTCGGAAAACAAACACAATGAAAATGAATACGCAAAAATTGAGGACGATGTTAGCTAGCCAATAGGAAAAGCCCTTCTTTCAAACCACTAAAGGCGGCTCAAGTAAGGCCGGATTAGGGTTATACAAACAAGATAATTGGAAATATTTTAAATAAAGAAATTGGTCTAAATGCCTATAGTGCAGGCTTATTTAGTTTGTCGCACAATATTGTAGGTCACGCACAAGGCCGTAGGCATATTGACTTAATTATCAAGAAAATTAAATTAAAATTAATTTTTAATTGATTTATGTAAAAATTCAAGCAGATGTTCTTAGGTAAACTAGACACAACAGTTACTGATGATACCTTCTTAAATTACTGCATTTGCGCTCCCAACTAGTTCATTAATCATTCGAAATAATTTCGTGATTCATTAAAGCTGTTAATTTCTCTCTGAGTGTACATAAATAATTTACTGCTTAAAAAAGAAACTGAATTTAGATAATGCACTTTCACTGTATCTATATTAGGTTTTTAGAGTTCAGCAAAATAACGAAAATTTTTTTACTCCCTCACGTCTCTTTGTTGTCGTTGACAGCAAAAAAAGGTTTTTTTAATTCGTATGAACATCAAAAACGAATTTGCACAATTCTCAAGTTATCCGCAGGCACAAATGTTTAATAATTTAGAAATCAGTGATATTCACGAAAATAAGGGATTAAAGAGAGCTCTCCTCTCTCCACCACAAAAGCCCCAAGTTCTTGCCATCAAAATGTTTTTCATGATTTTAGTAAGAATTGTATGGATTTCGATTTACCAAATCATACGCAGCTATCAACCTTTCTCAGCACACTTAGGTTGCGGTAATTTTGTCAATCTTAATTTTTTGAGGTTCCAATTTGCAAAAAATTGAGATTATCATTGGTTGTATTGATTCATAGTATTTGCCATCAGCCTCTGATGACCCCGATTTCATATTTCCGTTGTCACGAATGTTTAGCAATTACCATTATAAATGTCTCCTATTACGAATAAAAACTAGATTGAAAGGAAAATTTACAAAAAGCATCCATGGCTATCAACACCGCATTTGGTTGATTGTAAATTGTGTTTCACTTGAGCGCCACTCTTAAGCGGAGATAAGTAGAAATTTGTAATTACCACAACGAATAAATTCAATATCAGGAATGAATTTAATTCAAAATTTATTATTTAACCTTTCCACCTTATTTCATGTAGCGTTTACTTTCTGCTCTTACTAGTTAGCAGTGTTCAAAAAAGGCTAACCTTTGATACTGCTGCCAAGCTTGTTCAAATAAAGGACAAGACAGTGGTACACGTGAGGTCAATACCACTAGTTCCTTCTAGAATGTCCTAAACGTAACATTTAATCAGAAAGTTTTCATGGAAAGGGAATTTAAAGGAACAAGTCAATATCTGTCAGTACCTTAAAAAAACCACCTCATTACGGTGTAACGTAATATATTTTAGACCAACATCTACAAAAATAGTGGATGCAGAACTTATAAGGTAATGATTAGCGAACGATAATCATGTTTAAGAAGTAGCCCCAAACCTGCTTTCTTGGTATAATCAAGAAGACAATTTGACCGGACGGTAAAAAATACGCTACATTCCAGTCAAAATAGTGATGCCTATAGTGTATATTGCTAAGTAGAATGTCCTAAACTCCTTGATCTATCCAATAGTTTAGGTACGTCGTCGGATAGATTTCGAATTTTGTTAATATGGCGTCAGACGTAGGAAAAGTATTGAGGTGGTTCCTTGGGTATTTCTGATGATATATGACGTCAAACTAGTAACAATTTATGTGCACAAGAAATTTTATGTCGAACTGCCTAGTGGCATTTATAATTTCGAAATTTGCACTGTAGTTATATGTTTATTAATTAATTTAATTCGTGAATTTACCAAGTAATGGATGATTAAATCCGATATTTTAGCCTTCTGAGTGAGCCAAATTGCAAACAACATTATTTTTTGTTCTAAAGTAAAAATTAGAAACATGTAGGTGAAATTTAATGTTAAAAATAAATGAGCAGACTACTTCAGGATAAGTCCGACTTTTGCAATTAAAGTAATGTACACAAGGTTATGGTGTACATATATTTTTTTAATAATTTCTGTTTTGTAAAATGTCTTTCTGTAACAGAAAAAACAGTATTTGCATTTAATATTTGTTTTGCATTATTGTTTTTTAAGGTTTGTTTTACTCTGCTTTTTTTAACCCCGTTTGTAGCAAACGTATGCGGCTTTGCCACATAGCCATAGCATAGGTTGAAGATGGTTGACGTGTTTTCGCGATCTAGCAGTCGAGATGAAATTATTTCAAAATTGGAGGATGTTGCCGACAGGGTATAGCATATTTCCATTTTTTGATAATTGTGTTATAAATTTGTTGCTATACTGTAGTTTGTTTGTATTTTTTAGCATTTGTCTAGTTGGTGAACAAGTATTAAGCGATAGCTCTTTATGTCCATTCTAGCACGATGAAGCAGCATTCACTTAACTGCTTGCATTTAATTGTCATTTTTTTGTTTTCCTAAATCTGCCTTACGCCATTTAAATTTGCTTATAACTTAGGGTCTAAATATAATAATTTTTTTCACACTTTTGCTCCTGTATGTTATCGGCATTCTAGTTGTGTAGTTTATCCGGGATTTACTATTTTGGTTATTTGTATTGAAATAAGGCACAAACTTTAGGCTTGTTTTTTTTTGCCGGTGATGTTAGTTCTACTGAGCTTGAATAAAGTCCGATTAGTTGTTCTTTGTAATTATTTCCAAAATAATCGGACATTGTGTACAGTTGTTTGAATCTCTTGTTTCTACCCCCTTTTCACATGCTGCATTTTTTTTCAACTTTGTATTTTGCTGAAAATAAATGCTACAGTAATTTGCTTGTTTGGACACTTGATAAATCCGAGTGTACATGATGGTTTGCAAATTTCGTCACAAACACACCCGCTTTATCCCACTTTTTCATTTCGTTTTGATTTTGCCATAAAACCGAAAACGTGACATTTATAATCAATACTTTCCAGACTCACAGTAAAACTGACAATGCTGCACTTTATTTAAAAAGATTTTAATATCATAAGGCGCTATGTAAAGTGTTTTTTTATCTATGCTGCTGAAATGCACTTTGCAGGTGGTCCGACGTAGCCGTCATTACCTCCCTCACGTAGCACGTCTGTGCTTGGTTTCGACGTTCATTGAAGATGGGTTTCGGCTGTTGACCCAGTGGTCGGAGCAAGTGGAATTCATCCGCCACGTATGGTCCACTGGCAGCTTCATTGCCGGCCTCTTCATCCTCATAAACATCCTAATGCAGTTCGCAGGTTCTGCCTTCGTTATGGTTCGCTACAAAGTCAAGGTCGGCTGTGGAATTCTTCTTGCAACAGTTGTTATTCAAGTTAGTTTAGCTACTAACGACTTTCAATTACAAATTCCCTCTGAGGACCTCAGCGATGCTGTTTCTCACCCAGACTATCGGCTACAACATTTGGACTCGGATTTTCCTCATGCGTAATCTGTCGTTGGTGGGGAGCCTGCTTCTACTAATTGCCGAGGCCGGTCAGCAATCGAGGAGTCTCTTGGCGGGGCTACCCTCAGTGGGCGACGAGAACAGGTCGCGGCAGTACCTCCAGTTGGGTGGTCGTCTCCTTGTAGTCCTCATGTTCCTCACCTTAGTTCACTGGGGAGGCAGCTTCTTCTACCTCATTCAGGTAGCTCTCTGCCTCCAATTTCCATGTCACTTTTGTTATTCCGTCACTTTGGTCCGTTAATCAGTGATGCAAAAATTAACGATGACAAACACTCATACCAAATTGCGTAGGATCCGATTCATAAAAAACCCACTGGTTCCTCACAAATCACCCATTTGGCCCTTCTACCAGCATGTCTTCGACACGGAAGAAAAAACACAGGTTAAACTTTATTTAATCGAGCTAATCCCCTTAGCTATTTGGAAACCGTGAATGCCTTATATGCTGTTGGTGGTCTCTAGGTTAGGTATACCACGAATTGTTAAATTGCTGAGTGGCCACCTTAGCTGTTAAGTATTCGTCCAGTTTTTGGTTAAATCGCTTTTGGTGTGCGTTGATACTTCACTACAATGCTCCCATTTGGAAACAGAAATATGTAATGTGTAGATCCCTCTTCACTGCAGTCAAAGCAACCCGAATCTTAGTGGAAGCGACTGTTTTTAAAATTTAAAACTACCTTCACTCTTTGCAATTTGTGGCAGTTACTAGACAGGAATATGTACATGTCAAATTAAGTAGTTTTGTCACCAAAATGTGGCTCATCAAAGTCGAACAAAAAGTAATGCAACATGGCTGGATAATCACGTCAATAACATAATACTACTCGGTTCTCTTGATGCACTTTTCTCCTTCATTGCTTGGCATTTTTTTGCTGACATGATTTTTCGGACCAAACTGTCGAACAAACCTCTCTCCTAAAATCATGACTTAGTATAAGGTACATGATTCGCTACCGAAAATTGTGTATCTACTAATGATGACAACACCGAAATCTGTTTGTTAATCCGGTAAGAGTATTATTTGGGTTGCAGGCGTTTTGACGCTCTGTGCTATAAGGCTCGTGGTTACGCCTTAGTTCTCTCCAGGCACATTTTAATGCTCGACCCTTTTAATTTTTAGTCCATCTTGAATTTGATTCTCATTCTCCTGGTGGCGATTGGCTACAAAACTAAGCTCTGCGCCCTAATCCTCGTCTCCTGGCTCACCTGCATGAATTTCTACTACAACGACTTCTGGTCTAACTACAACGATGAGATCATGTGGGACTTCCTGAAGTACGACTTCTTCCAGACCTGGTCCGTGATTGGCGGACTAATGCTAATCGTGGCACACGGACCCGGTGGTGTTTCTGTCGACGACTACAAGAAGGAATGGTAGATGCCGTGGATGTGTCCACGTAGTAATTGCCCACGCCTCTCTCCCCTTCGTGTGTGTGTGCTTGTGTGTGATTTTAACCCTTTGGGTATGCATTCAGTCTCCTCCGTACGCAATCATGTCCACCTCCTCTCAAACCCCTTATTTTCTCGACGCTTCTCACTCCCTCCCTCCCTCCTTGCGTTTTGTGAAAATAATACCTAGCCCGCTGACCGTAATCGGCTGACTGCTTTTGAGAAAATCTGAACACGAATGCTACGTGTCGCTCTCAATTTCTTGCATGGGGTAGGATGACTGGCCCAAGCAGCCCTATTGAGCTTGGTCACGTGAATCGTGGCGGACTGTGTTGCTCATCGACGATGCACAATTTCTATTCTCATCAAGTAACACTGTTGCATCGTCTACACCCAACAGCGCTGGACTTGGTGAAAATGGCGTTTATTTACAAAATCTAGGCTGACAAAGTAGCTAGTATTGGTGCTGGTGGGTGGGTGGGAGTGCCGTAGAAAGCTGGGGGAGGACGCTGCCAGGTACGCCGGAGGCGGCATTGCCGGCGGTGGTTGAGCTGCTGTAGCGCTCGATGACCGCAGCCTGCGCGCGCTCCTTGACCAGGGCCTCGATGTGCTCGCGAGTGAGCAGGGCGACGCCCAACTGGTCCTCACGCCTGAAGGGCTGACTCCCCATGACACGCAGGAACCGACGGCTCGCCTGCACCGCCTCCTCTGTCGAGAGGTTCACGAAGGCGTCGCTCAACTGGGCCTGAATCCAGCTTGGCAATTTGCAACGCTTGTCGGATCGGGCGTACCTCTATAAAAGCGGTGCCACCAACCCAGTAACACGCCCAAGCATTCACGGAGGCAGGCAATGCTCGATTTAAGGGGAAGCGACTACGAGGTAATCAGGTGGTGTAGACACACAGCAACGCGTGCCAGCGTGCAACAGTCGAACGAGGCTTCTCAATACGCACGAAATCAGTCGTAAATTGCAGTTCTGAGGGTACGATCGGATTGCTGATCTGCTCGATGTGTTTACACTCGCGAAACGCATTCGAAAGATGTAAGGTGTACTTACTCCAGCAGGGTGCCAGACATTCTAGGCCATCTGGCTAACGAGGTCAAGTAATTTTACGACAAGCTGGCTTGGACCGAGTTTTTCGTAAAAAAACAATCTTTTTAACAAAAATTATGACGCCGTCTGTGTAAGACACTTGCATCGAAAATTGTAAAACTTATGTACTGCAAGTTAGCTTATTCGTAGGAAATTTTCGTAGAATCTGTTGTACTTCCTGACATTAAGTCACTTTAATTAGCAGGATTTTTTTCGCATGAGATAGTTTTATGCACATCATTTGGTGAAATTGTTTTTTGTACAGGCGAACGAGGAAAATTTGACGCCTCAGTGGAATTCCGCCTAGACGCGTTGACGAAACGAGTCGTTTGAAACACCAAATCACACAAAAGACAGCAGCGTCTCTGTAACTGGTAGGGAAAGGCAGTGGCCTGGGGGTGGAGGAGGTGGCGGCCCCGGTGTTCGTGCGTTTGTGTGTGCATGCATTGAGACGTTGAAGTGCGCGCCAGAACCGACCAATCAGATTTCGCACTTCGTCCTATTTTTGAACGAATCACGTGGGCCCGCACGTGCCTTTGCAGACCAGACCCTTGTCCAGCATGGAACTCAAAATGAACAGCTTGGCGTCTTGCTCTGTGCATTAACACGCCAAAATTCTTTGGAAACAAGCAAACAAACAAACCACGCGAAGGCTCAACGCCAAACAGTTGGGCTTCCCATCTGTTCCAGGCTTGACAGGTTGGATCGCGAGGACACAAGGTGACCTCATCGCTACCGGTGGCGATGTCATAGGGACTTGCCACTTTTCAGAATAGACCACGTGATTCGGCAAAAGTACACTGATGCTAGTGGCTGATTGTTTTGATTGGTCGTCAGTGGCTTCCATGATAGAGGTTTGTAGACCAATGAAATAACACCAACCTTGTCGGCAAGAATCATTACTCCATAATCAGATTTGCCCCGAATGGCTCGACCTAGACACTGCGCAGCGTGTCGCATTGCGTCGAAGGTGATGAATTCATTGGGACGAATGTTGTACTGCTCACGGAGGTAGTCCAAGCGCGCCTACAGAGATACAAAATCAGGTGCTGAATCGAATTAGCCAACACCGACAATCGGTTTTCACCCTAAATTCCTCATTTAAGCAGCAAAGCATAAACAAATTGCACAAGTTTGATGTGTTAAACAGCGAAGGTTGTACTCGACACAGACCAGCTGCTATCTGATGCCGCAGACGTCTCCCACGAAAAACAGAACCCCAATATCGATTTGCGTGTGCGACAAGACAGGGATTGGAGCAGCAGCAGGTAACGCGACAGGAGGGGAGACGGCCTTAGTGGCACAAGCACACAGGCAAATTAGACAACTCACCTTGAAGATGCGGCTTTGAGTGTAGACGTAGGGCACGCCGAACATGATGATGCATCGACCCAAGTGGTGATCTAAAATGGGGCTGTAGAATTGACCACACCAGACAAATGCACGCAGACAAGGTGCTACACGGGCCACGTACCAAAATCGATGCCTTCTGAGACCTTTCCCCGGGCCACAGAGAGGAGGACTGCGCCGCGTCCGTTTTCACAGGCCTAGAGAGAAAACAGTCGACTGTTCGATAAAACGAGAACAAATGCAAAACCACGCTGCATGACGACTAGATTGTTCAACGTAAAAAAACCAGCAACCAGCTTTAACTACATCCACCAAGTTCTCTGGACAGCTAGTTATTGCTCTGCACGCATACGCGGAGCCAAATTGATCGATTAAAAGACGAGATCAGGCCAAAATTCGCCCCCATGCACCAAAAATCCAATTAAATCTGCGACCTTGAGGCAAAAAAGAACATGGTTGGTGCACCTTCTGGTAATTGGCCAAAGCCAAACTCGTCTCATCGTTGTCGGGAGTTTCCACGAAGAGGAGTTTGTGTTGTTGGATTTTCTGAATGAGGTTCTGTAATAAGGGAGAAAAGTAGACATATTTTCTTTTTCAAAAAAACATCAGATGACGTTGGGGTGCCTAGACATGAATAAAATCTCGCACAATTTACAGATCGCCAAAGCTTAAAGAAATGCAATTTTGGAAATGCCACGTCGTCAAATTTTATACGCGAGGTCATCAGACAGGGGACGGCATTTCGTGCAGGCGGGTTCCTTCAGAGGGGCCCAAAAGAAACGAAATTATTGAGAAACACAGGACAGAACAAAAACCCTCGCGATGGACAAAATCAATTTTGGCGCAAAACTTTCTCTGGTTTGATTGGCTTATTTTGAGTACTCATTGTCAACATACATTGGTACATTGATTGATACATACCCCCGAAAACCAAACATTGACTACAATGTACGCGCAAAACCCGTAAATTACACAGTCACCTATTAGATCATTTCTCCGATCATCCTTCCTTATTTTACTGAGAAGGTCAATCGATCCAGCTGCGAACTGTCCAATTGGTTGACAAAGCGACCAATTAAAATAAAGCTGGATTGGTGGTCCTAAATAGAAGTTTGCGTGATTCAAACGTGGCCCAAACATAACTCACTCGAGGAGGCATGTAAATTCAAACGGTATTTATTGGATCGGTTCCCCACACACCCTTCCTCCTTACACTACTGAGAAGTTAAATTAACCCAACAGCGAGACGTCCAATTGGCTAGCGAAGTGACCAATCAAAAACATGCATGACTGGTGACCATGAGTAGAAGTTTGCGTGATTCAAACACGGTCCAAACAAAACCGAATCAAGAGAGGGCGCAAGTAATTTCGGATTGTACTTTTGACAACTCAGTGCACCTGCCACGAAATTTTATCCACAACAGTGCGAACCAATTTGATACATAACGGCAAACTTAAAGGTAAGTGCCTTAAAGGTGCAGCTGATCGCACAAAGAGTAGAACCCTTGGGGTACTTGAAATTAATTAATTGCTCTCAAGAGCGCTAGTTTAAAACAAATCGCTGAATTGAATTGTACATTTGGGTGAAAATGTGACATGCGACTATAAAAGGAGACATTACCTGCTCATACCACATCGCAAACGTAGACTCCTACAAGAATAATCACAAATGTGAAATACTAAACAGATTTCAAATGCTGAATGTTCGGTTTCAAAGCAGGCAAATTGGATGTTTTGGTTGAATTTGTGGTTCGACAAGAAGGAGTCAATTTTAAAAGTACTAAAGCGGAAAAAAACCACCTAATCATGATGGGAAGGTTAGCAAAAAAATTAATAAACGATGGAAGATACTAGTCTACGGAAATTAGTTTTACAGCATTGAGATAAAAATATCAATAAACAAAACGCGCTACTACCAAAATGTGAGTAGAATGTTTTGTATTTAACAAACAGAAACGCAATTTTTACCAAATAATGATAACTCGGGAAGAAGGCCACAATTCCGTCTGGAACTATGCTTGCCATTTCAGCCAGGAGGTGGCCGTAGTTACGCGTCACAGCTTATTAAAGAGAAGGACGAAGTGTTAGAATATTTTGTCGAATATATTTGAAGTCTAGGGTTTGTAAAGAGGAACCATAACAGTTAAACAAGTGCTAGTGTCATGTATTTTGAGAGAATAAGTGGTTGTGCCTAATTTATATTGCCTACGAATAAAAAAGAACGTATATGACCTTGTTTAAACATACTTCAAATAAATTATTGATGAAATTTCAATTGGACAATTCATATTTAAAAAAAAAGGTTTAAACGAAGCTTGAGTTGAGGTGAGGCACGCGAACAAAACTAACCCAAATCCTCGCGGCTTTCAAATTTAGTTGTCATGGCCACCTGGTCACTTCCTCTTGAGACGATCTGGAAAAAAATCAATACACGCGTTTCCACAAGCAAACATAAAATGAAGGATATCTTAGAGACTGGCCAAAACTCTGATAATGATCAATAATTTGATTCGCGAAAATCGATATTTGAAATGAATCTCTTTGGAATTGCACACAATACAAACATCGAGCGTCCTAACGTGCTCAACACATTTTATCGATTTTTAGTTTTGGTGTGTGTTTAGTAAATTGTACAATCTCTTACGCTATTATTTCACCATAATTCTATTCAACTAGGACTATGGCCGTCTCTGACAAGAACAATTTAATGAGGCAAATTCAAACAGCGATTGGTTAAAACAAAAGTGACCCCGAATCGGCACCGCAATGTACCTTTGTCAAAAAAAAATCGATTCGCCAAACGTGAACTATGTTCTAAAAAATCAATCGATTTTGCACCAAAAAGAGACGAAAGTGCAAGATTTGGAAGTAAGTAGTACTACTCCTTACAAGTAGCACTTTAAAGAAAAGGTTACATAAAAGTTAAACTGGAATCCATCTAGAGATTGACGCATTTAAATAAGCATACCACACGCAAGTGATCGTGAAGAAATCTGGACCAATCAGCGATAAGCATCTAAAGTGAAGGTAATCGTGCTGATTCACATCCACTAACACCGTTGCCTCAAAGTTAGACTCCCTACCACCCCCTTCTCAGCACACCCATCGCTCACGCGGACACGTCTGACCACGCAACTTATCAATCAGACGTGTTGGCTATTTAAAAGTCCACCTAAATTCTATTGGTTGAGACCCTCAATCACTCATGCCCTTATTGTGGCACGGATTTGTACGCACCACGACGCAGAATTGAATCAGTCAGTAAAATGACTGTGGCAACATCTCTTCTTGTCTGAGATTCACTAATAGAAAGCATGAATCATGCAGGAGGGAGGTTGTCGAAAGGCAACACAACAGAACAACCAAACGCACGCGAAAACCCCCACCTTCTCTCAACCTAATTTGTCCGGCGGACGTTGTCAGGTCGCGCTAATCGCGAATAAGCTAGTCCGTGATTGCCACATCATGACAGGTTCCAATAAATTAGCAATTAGTCAAGCAAATGGCAATCACTGCTTCCAATTACGAACACAAAACTAAAGTAAAAGTATAATCTTGGGAGTAATGCCAAGAAATTGTCTGAAACACAGACCAGAACCATCGATTCATGGGTGGCACTGGTGTACCCAGCTTATTTTTTATTGATGCACATTGAGCGCTAGTTGAGCTGGTTAATGAATCGGTTTTGTTGAAGCAGGTAATGCAACAAACTGGACAAAGTCAACTGTTTCGAGACTGGAACGGTTTTAATTCCTTCAGGAGACGAACCAAACAGGCAAGCCTGAGCAATTTTTAAGCACTATTGGCCAAATTTAGCTAGTACGACGGCGTCAAAACAGTCATACTAAGCAGATTTCAGGGGAAGGCTGTTGGCGGAGGAGGAGGAGGGAAAATTACCACTACTTAATGTTCAGATCCTGCAACACGCTGACGCAATATTGGACCGATAGATGTAGAACCACTACACGAAACAAGCCGCATCAAGATAAAGCCTAGGTAGAGACACTACGGAGCAAACGTCATTGGTTGCGTCAACCAAAAGTCATAGCAAGAATAAAACCGACTGCAAACGCAGAAACTGCTGCATTAAAAGCGCACGGCATCTGGAGACCGTATGTGTCCGTGTTCTGCCCACCATATGTGGGATTCAAAGCGCTAAACATTACCTCAAAGCCTGCTTGTAAAAACGGCAAAAAAAAGAAGCACTACCATTGGACAAATGCAATTTCGCGCGAGTGTCATGGTGAGGGAGGCGGAGTTGACGGGATGGAAGTCGAGAATCCGTGGATACATGTCTAGCGGCGACAGCGTCTACAACACGGACACAAGTGATGCTTACACCTCAAATACAAGCCGAGACCCGTGCTCAATCACTGTCACACTTTTTCTTTTGCATGGAAATTTGAAAATGTCTCTCGGATCTTTGGATCCGAGAGCACACGTCGCTTTGCTTAGTTTTTCTTAACTTATAATTCCAATATTTGCGCTGAACAATTGACAATCGCGAAGATTAGTCATTTCAGAATAGGAAAGATTACAAATGCGCAGGTAACCCTACCCCGGACGTTAAAATGACGCTGTTGAATCTGTCGAAAATGGGGCGTATGGCGAAGCTGGCGTCCATGCAGTGGAAGTAGAGGATGGGGTTGATCACTGTGGGAGAACGCTCGTCAAACGGCTCAATGATAACGCAAAAACCTGCGGACGAAAAAGAACGCCGGAGGTAATTTGGACTGTGGGGGGGTTTAAATGGAGACAATAATGTGCACGCAACGAGAGGAAAGTAAATAGCGATGCCTAAGCGTCACCCAGGACTCAGCCAGTTGCAGTCAACTGCATCGTAATAGCGGCGGTCGGGACAGTCTTTTAGGCGTCAAAAGTAAATCGGTGACATTAAAACTGCCAAAAGCTAATTGCAAAGGAATTACACGTGGTAAACAAGATGTGTAGCCTTGACGAATCTACGATACTTATTGACTAGAATAATTGCAGAAACAATAATAGAGAGCATTCAGAGAGTCAAACCTCGAGTGTAGGACGAAACCAATGTTCCGAAATTACACAGAAGTGTTAACCCTGAGAATACCCCGAGATCTGCGAACTCCAACGTGTCCAGCAAGGAACGCAGGCGCTCTGAACAAAACCTGTAAAGCAATGCACTTTTTTTAAAAAAAAAACAAGGGCAAATCTTAATTAAAAGTTTGTTGATACTTTTGTGCAGGGTCTAGGACAGTGAAGATATTGCCAGTAGAGTCCCAAACTAACCTTAGAGGACGACGGTCAATACAGACTTTTTCTAGGCAGTCCTTGAGAAACGCTACAGGTGTTTCGTGAACCACGTGAGCTACACGGAGACGCAACTTTACGTACTCCAGTAGCCTCCGAAGGAAACTGATAAAGCTGTCTGCACTACGAAGGGTTCCTGGTACTGCTTCATTCAGAATTTCATCAGGCAAAGCTAAATAATTGACTGTGTTTAGAGGTGCACAGAGATTACTTGGATTAGCCAAAACAACATCAGTTTCTCGGGATTTATTGGCCTCACGAAGGCCCTGGACCAAACGATTGTACTCCTGTTGAAGTTTAGCTGCGTCGTGCTTTTTCACTTCAGCCACACGGGCTGACAGCTTTTCGATTCCTTGGTTGCAACGGTCGAGGGAGCGACGCGATATAACACAACTCATAGACTCGATACATACATTATCTTTGGAGATATTATGAATAAATGCTAACACGAACCAATATTATGGGCTTCATCAAACACCACGACGGTATTTTTGGGGAATTCGCTAGAAACAAGAGACGCGATCTTTGGGTCAAGCAAGTAATAGTAGCTGTATACGACAATATTTGCATGAATAAGCTAAAAGGATATGGTTTTCAAAATTAGTGATTACAGCATGCCGGGCCAAAAAATAGGGACAGTAATTTCGCTTTCTACCATAATTGCGAAGATCATTCTACAAAAACATTTACGAAATAAACTTCATACCAGATTGTAAACGCCTACAGGAAGAACCTCTTCACGACCGTGCAAATCAAATTCCTTAGAAAAATAAATGGGAACCTATAGCATTACCTCATAAAAGGAGCAGCCAGGAACTGAAGTGTCGGTCTGACGGTGACGTCGAACAAAACTAGCAGTTAATTTACGACAGGCAGTGTCAACGGCGGCCCCATCACCTATTCTTCGAACTGAGGGCTCAATACAGAGGTTTTTTCGTGAACTGAGGGCGACAGCTAAAAGGCCGCAGTTAGAAGATCCAGTTTCGTTAGCATAATATTTGTCAAGGACCTTCATTTCCTCAATGACCTTCTCGAGTTCCGGCACAGTGCGTGAACAATAAACAAATTTCTCGACAAATCCCGGGCGCGCTTTCATATATGCCACAATTAGAGATAATAAGGAAACCGTCTTCCCGGTTCCGGAAGGCATTTCTAGTACTCCATGACCCTAACATGAGGATGATACAATATTATCGACAGGCCTACTTTGGCATCGAGAGTAGCTTTTAACTCTAGCATATAATTATACTGCTCGGGATAGATGTATTCGTATGGGAAATACACCAAAAGACCATCAACATTTATTCTAAAAATTACAAAATTTGGACTGCATACTTCATTGCGCGTGATGAGTAAGCGGGCTAAGGGTTATAAGGCTATTCGAGGAAGCTTAAATAACCTAGAAATTCCAGAGAGAAAATCAACTCAGTTCTTTTTACATCATTTTAAAAAAATTCTGATTTTTAAAAAAAATTTTTTTAGTAACAGAGAACAAAATATTAAGAATAAGGCTTACAGCATTATACTTTAGTACAAAGTAAATGGACAAATTATTTACATGGAATATATTCATGAAGAGTGCATTGAATTAAATGCAACATTAAGTACAAACTAAAGCACACCAAGTGAAGCATAATATCAAACAATTGATTGTGAGTAAATAAGAAATGTGTACAATGATTGTGCTAAAGACAAATGACTTCAGTTCTCTACATGTCAATGAATTATTGCTAATTCAGTTTAAACATTTTAATTTTCGTAGATTATAATGTTCACGTAATCATTAATAGAAAGCCTGAAAAGGTCAAAGCTTTGTGAAATATTTTCTCTTCGGAATTGCAGATACGGGCTCATCTTAGGAATGTTATGATTACATGTTACTACCGCATCGCACAAACCGGTTCTACCATTGGTTTGTGGACATTTTACAATTTGTGAGTCACTTTAATCTGGCAGAAATAGGCTATTAAAATTTTTTAAATGTACACCAGTAACACAGTCATCAATAACAGCCTAAGGAGCTTTGGGGATCACAATCAGATACACGTGATTTGCGCCAAATAAAAAAATGCTATCAAGAATTTCTAAAAAACACAAATGTTACCCTTGGCAGTTAACGTCATGATAAAAAATACAAATCTGTGCACTTCAATCACGAATTGTAGATCAATTTATTAGCATCCTGGTGTTAGATTGGTATTATTCATCCCGCGAGAAAATTTAAGTTGCGTTTGATATTAATCAGAAGTATATAAAATGGGTGCTATTCGACCCAGGCAAGCCCGTGAGCATGAGGACAACGCCGACCCTCCTCATGGCTATCCCTTCCCCCCTCCAGCTCTAACTCTTCCTAAGCCCTGACTCTCTGAAATTGCATGCAACATTCCCGAATACATCCGGTTCTTCCTGTTATTCTTCTGTCAGATGTCAGTAGCTAACCATGATGGTGTGGTTTCCTAAGAGGGACAGGCTAACAGTCATCACCCTTTTTAGGTCCCCCTAGGTAGGAATGTTACAATTATACTAACGGATTAAAAAGAGCACCAAGCGAGCACAGTTAGCAGTTGTGACCGAACGAAGTTAGCAAGTGCGAACGAACACTATTCAATCGATTTTCGTGAATGTACCTCATGCAAATCTGTTCGTTTAGAGATCTATGTTTAGAGAAGCTATATAAACGCACCTATTATTCTACACAAGCACACATTGCTGCTGCATCATTAAATAAGTTGAGCTGCGCACCACATACTGGTCCTGGTGTGGTTTCCGAAACCGCATCGGGGCTCGCTACAGATTGTTCACGTAACCTTGAAACCCAAGATCTAAAATGCATGCCAAATTCCCAAGGAACACAAGACAATCATGAACGTTTAAGAATGCTCATTTGCCATTCTAAACAACAAAAGTTACAACAGTAAGCGTCTGTAACAAACTGCACACTCTGGAGTTACCTGTAATTTGTAAATCGCAAATGGAGCATAACGTAACTCAAAAGTAAAACATAGATGAGACAAAGATACCATGGTAAAGGTTACAAAAATGTTCCAACTTATGACTTTGATCTGATCGCATATTGAGTCCACTTTTGTGCAATGAAGTGCAAGGACGTAAGCATATTGGGAAAATCTGAGACCAACCAGAGACAAGGACGAGTTGGGCGCTTGCGATTGGTTGATAAAACTTCCTCCGCTGTACCGGTCTTTTTGATCCCAGGATTTGGCGTATTCTACTCTCGCTAGCTTAATCACCCTAATTATTGCGACTGTTTTCCATTAATTTGAATTGGTCTTATGTGGTTTCTATTCAAAATATAGAAATGCTTGCGTTTGCACTATAATGAAGGGTATAGGTTTTCAGCATGGCAGTAAATCATTACGGACGTGTACTACTCGAAATGCACGTTTACGAAATCGACGAGTGTATGCCAGTAGACGTAAAAGTTGAAGAATACTTAAAAATTTCAAGCGGTGAGACAAAATAGGCCTTTGAGCCTGCCGACGTGTGAACTGAGTTACTTAGTTCTATTCAAATTCAAACAAAAGAGGGAAATTAAATTTAACCCCCATAATTGAGCAAACCAATTGGAACATCCAGTTAGAACTGCCGTTTAAATAGTGATTCTAGAGGCGCGCCACTTGCAGTTTGCTCTCTGGATGAGCAGCGTTAAGGAAAAACACCACTGGAGCTCAGCCACTGCGTGTAGCTCTTTAAACAACAACAGTTTACCGAAAAAATGAGTCACATGGCGTAAAAATCACACCGATTTGGAACAAAATAACTAATTGGGGCCAAGTATTTGTACAAATTGTAGTTTACAATCTGCTTCAGACAGGATTCGTCATCAAGAAACGTTGGCATCACTCCCCCTTAACGCATTTTACTTGTGTAATAAATAAATATGTGCATATACTACTATATAGACTACATCACTCATGCTAATACAGATAAATAGCGCGCGATTTAAAAGGTCTCTTGTCATGACCAACGTGGTTAAGTTGAATACTTCATTACTTTCGCCTGGAAATTGCAACTATGGATCAAGTAATGGCGTTGTGCGTTGCGATAAGCCGACACTTTTGTGACCTGGAAATATTCTCAAACTGATCGTTAACTCAATGTGCCCATTAACAGAGGCTAACGATTGATTTCTTATAAATACAGTTACCAAACCAGTTTAGAATGGCCGATAATTCTAACAACCAAGTCGAGAGATTAGTTCCCACAGTCCAGCGTTAGAATGAAAAATTGCCCGAAATGGTTAACCTGAAGCTGATTGGTGCATTGACTTGCACTTAAGCTTCTTTTAACACTGTTCATAAGTGCTTCATAAACTCGCCCACGCACGCACAACAGCACACATTGAATTAAGTGTTAACCGCTAGAACACTGAATTCAGAATGTGCGAGGAATCGCATGGTTTAAAGTTCAAGCACCACGTTTATTACTTAGATTTCTCTAGCGTCGAAAGACGGATGAACTACAACAAACGAAAGTTCATCGATAAGGTAATAAATTATTAGTGGAAGAGCATTAACCAAACTATATCGCCGTGTTAAAATCGGATTTGCCAGGCCAGCTAACACAACATTCTCGGAATTTCATACAAGCAAGTGCATTAAAACAATTAGTAACTCTGTTGGTCGAATTATTCGCCGGAATTCATTTTCCAAGCACGTGACTTAGTGTATGTGCTAAATGCGTTAAACTGTTAGTTGTGATTTAGAATTGCCGCCTACGTGTTTGGACGATGAAGTTGTGACCTCAAAAACAGATATGTAGCGGAGGCGAAGTGGTTCAAACTAGCGCGAAAAGAACTCGCTCAAAATTGATTGGTATGAGCGACTCATGCCTACCTCTCATTGGCCCAGAAGGCCAGCGAATCCGCGCTGCTCACAAATAAGTCTGCATTATTGCTGCTCATTTGCTTCACCACAATTTAAACCATAGGCGACTCATCCGCGTCACAAAACCCGCTAATTTGACTCCATTTACCGCCTCATCATCATCTTTGACTGATTGATAAGTTCTTGAACCCAAATCTCTGACTACAAAACCACTAACAATGAAAACAACATCGAGGCTTTATTGCAAATAGCAACTACGTAGTTCTGCTTAGCTAGAGCTGCATCTCCGCTTTCGAACAAACAAACATGCGCGTCATATTCGTTTCCAACGAGGCTAGGAGACGCGGATACACCTAGTCCAACTCCTTTTTGGATATTGTGCGTTTCTCAAAAATGCAAACACAAGGTGACACCCGGTTCCAGGGTGGTTTATTTAACTCATGTTTGCACACTGCAAACCTCGAAAAAGTATCAGAGTACCACACACACACACACACACACACACATACAGGCATACGTACAAGAGACGCACGAATCAGACAAGCCGGTTGCAAGTTAGAGTTTCAAGTTGGTAAAAAAACAATAGAAAAATAGGTCCGTTTTGAAGACAACATTCCTGACCACCAATGAAGTAAAGGAACACACATTGAAGCAAATTGCGGAAGTTGCTTTGAGCGAGGCGGATTTACTTGGCCCTACAAAGTACAAAGCCGGTGTTAAGATGGGAACTGTGTGTGTGTGGGAAAATGTCACGAGTATAGTCATCAAATGACTTATGAGTAAAAAGCTAAGAACCGTGTTGATGAGGTTTTCACGAGCGTGTGAAGGCTGGCGTTACTAAACAAGATGCGAAGCACACACAGACACGTGACTAGTGGCTGGTAGCCATGCAACGAGTGTGTCACGCAATCATTAAGCCCTGAACACAGCAACTCCTCTCAACCACCTGAGTATTCAGATGGCTGGAAAAAGAGGAAGTTAGACTTAATTTGATTTAAAAAAAAAAGAATTCTAGTAGATTGCAGACGCTCCACTTTATCCAATGAAACCGTGACATATTTCAACATTCAGCAAGCTTCTGATTTGCCAAACTCCCACATCAATGATATCTAGATGAAGTCATATGAAGCTTTGGAGTGTTGTGATGGAACACAAAGTCTTTGCGATTGGTCAATTCTGGCAGTTTGTCTCCGGTTACACGCTAATCCCATTACATTAATCGTTGAGGTCATTTGAATCGTTGTTTGAAAGGGAGTCAAAAAAAAGTATAACGGCATTGCGAATCCCGCCAAATCGCTGATTTAACACGACGGACGAAATCAGTGCATTTGAGATGCACATTGTAGGCAAAGTGAGTTTCCGTCAATTCCTACAGAACGTAAATATCTAGCTGGGTCCCCCTTTTCGCAGCATGTCGCCGGCCCCACGGATCTTCAACTCCCCCCTCTTTCACATGAATATTTATCTTGGATTGTCCTCACACCGAGGTGTCTCGATGTTAGTTCATCTATGACTCACACATCTGAGGCACAAACAAACACCCACAAGCCCTGAAGTAAACGGATGTGTCCACGTCCTCTCCGGTCTTTTTCTTCATCGCGGGAATCAGGGAAGCGTAATCGGACTAGAGTTAATTCAGTGGCCCCACAACAAATCCAATTTTGACGCGAGCCTTCTCTGCCAAGCCGTCAACACCAGATTAAAGTTAAAATATCGCCTTGTGAGCCGCAACAGCCCTTACGGAAATCGAGCAAGCAAAACATGCCGAAGAATAACAAAATTGACGGGAGTCATTTAGGGGGCGGATGCATCACTACCTAGTTGTTAAGAGGCGAAAGCACTTTCATACCAAGACACCATCTGCGGTAGCTACAACATGTAAACAAGTATACTGGCCACGGAAAGCCGAATAAACGAGGGTAAACAGTCGACTTAATTTCACGCCGCACAACGTGCGACGAACTGCCTTCACTGACGTCATGCCATATCACCTGTCCTGTCCTAGTTTTTGTTGTACTGTGCGCTAACCAACAAGCGACAATTCAGAAGGAGGACCTTGGAAGTCACTCACTTCCGGCTGGAGGTTAGATCTGGACGGGAGACGACTGACAGGACTTCGATGGAGCTCAGCCATGAACAAGTCTACCGCATTACCTAAGCGGAGGTTTACGAGCGTTATGCCAATTTGGTACGACAAAACGGCAAGTGTTCTACCCAAGGCATCATTACGAGTTGGTGAGAAGTCCAGTGGCTTCAAGATAACAAGCTCCTGTTGGCGAAATTCTGGCCGTCAGAGATTATGCCATCGCTTTGTGCACAGGGCAAGCGATTAGCATTCCACAGTTACCTCCGCCATGCGAGATTAGATCACGTGGTCGAGCATAGGCAACCAATGACAAGCACAAAGTATGGCAATAAACACTAGAAAGCAATAACTGAATATTTTGGCGACTTGGAATGATGTTTTGATGGATAGAGGAGGATTTAGCTATCCGGGAAATCAGAAAATGCCAAATGAACCTTTGCACCGCAACGCAGACATCATCTTGGCACAAATTTTCGCGTGAATGCCACAACCGTTAGTGCGCCATGAACGAACTTTGGACAGGATTGTAGCCAAATTCATGCACGCAAGTTTTGTCAATAAACCAGGAACAAAATAGACGGATAAACACATAGCACGGCTAGTCAAAATTCTACAGTTGTTTTGGAAAGCCAAGAGAGAAACCTCGGTAATCGATAGCATTTCTGAATCGCTAACTGATTGTCATGTATTAGGTGCAGGGCTTAATTTGGGAGTACTTCAGATTATATTTAAAACCGAAATGATTTCACAGTCTCTTGTAGTTTTGAAAGAATTAAACGCAAAGTTTAAGAGCGCAGATCAATAGCACATTCCATGGCACAGCACTTTTATACGAATTCTAACAGGGGCGAAGTGCTTATAACACACGAGAATCGATTCGCAGTGTTTTTGGTGCCGATCTTAGTGATCAGCCACGCTCTGGATATCATCGAACTTCTGAAGACGCGAATTCACAAGCTCCTACTGGATAAGAACTCAATGCAGATCAGTTAGGAGTCAGCCAAACAGCGTCAGCACCAAATAGGAACAATTCAAAAACCTGGCTGAACGCAATCTAGGTCACCGTATGAACACGTGCTTTTCACTGCTTGCCCACCAGCAACAAGCGACGAATGGACCTCTTGTGGAGGCTTCTGACAGGTGATGGAAAGTATACTTTGACGGGAAGTTCACACATAAAAGGTCGTGGGAGGATACCAGGCAAGCCAGTACGTCGATGCCGAAACAGGGCATCCACTTGAAGAAGGTTCTCCTGGATATCTGGTGGAACATAAATGGTGTATTTTATTACGAGCTCCTGGAAACTGGTCGCCAGACGATGACTGCGCAACCCCACAGCCGACAATGGAACTGACTGAACAAGGAGACCAGAGATCAGAAAAGGCCATTTACTGAGCAAGGAAGCAGGCAATTCATGCTTCCGCACGACAACGCTCGACTTCACTTTGCTCGCGCGACTCAGAAGACACCCTTGAACTTGAGATGTGAAGTTGTTCCACAGATGACATAATCACCAGACTTGGCCCCATCCGCCTACCATTTACTGCCGTCAATGCAACAGCACGCCTAAGTGGATACACAGTTCAAAAAGCCGGACGACGTGGATAAATGCGTCGACTACTTTATTGCCTCGAAGGCTGCAAGCTACCATCTCGTCGGCATTCGTACGTTATCTGAGAGATGACGAAAGTTCATTGAAAACGACGGACAATATGTTTAGGATTATGTTAGCTGTTCTCAAGCTTTTTAATATCAAACAAATTTGCTGAAAAACCTGTACAAAGTAAGTCATATACCTATAATACACATCGAGAAACATGCCACGACATCCAGACAGAAACGACGTCGATGAGCGATACACACGACGCGACCTAGCATCCACCAGACTCACTGCAGACGCATACCGGAAATGTTTACGCAAAAGTACTCACGTTAAGGGATGGCTTGGAGGAAAGCCATTTCCATAATCAGTTTCCTCGTCACTGTCGCTGTCATCTTCATTCAACCTCTCTTCTACTTCCTGTTGCCAATCTAAAATAAAACATCTTTTGAATTTCTGTGGACTACAATAAAAGTACAAATAGATGTAGCGTCCTTCATTGCTTCCTTCAGGTAGTCAGATTACAATCAATTAGTTTTCTTCACCTGATTTCCTATTGGTTGAACCGACTTACTGAGCCAATGAAATGTAATTATTACGGTAGGTTAGCAGAGAAGACAGCACATTTAACGTCGACAGACATTTGACACCAGTTGACCTCGAGTGGGCTAAAATTAGCGGATGAATCTGCATCACACCCAGTTTCGAGGGGTGCGATAAGTGTTCTTTGTCGCATAGACTAGGGTGTGCAATTACCAGGTTACAGAATGCCACACAAAATTAGTGGCAAAACTATAACGCATTTTATGATGGAAGATGCGAGCTAGTTAGTTAACAAAAACACGGTTGTTGGCGCGCCACAAACTCGCACCTTTGTATGTCAACTATGCACAGTAATTCCATACATCTGAACATGAGGTGGACAGGCTTAAGAATATTAACAGATTTTGTAGGTTGAAAAAGCTTAAATCGCAAACATTTTTTGACTGTTTGCACAGGTAGCAATTCTGACTTTAAGCATTGCTTGATTTCAACAATTTCACGTCCTTTCGCCTTCTACAATTAGCCACACTGGTAAGCCATATGAGTAGGCTGGATCCATACAGCAACACGCACTCAGAACGATGTGAGTCATCTTAACCGACACCGTCCAACAGCAGGGGATTAAACCAAAGTCCCCGAAGGCACTGTCGAATGGGCCACCTGCAGAACACTACCGATTTCCACCTATGAAAATTCGGTCAGAGGGAATCGGTTAGCGCTTCATTCGAATTTCGATAGAAGACGCTGCAAAGGAGCGGTAGCGACAGTGGATTGCGTGAAAAAGCGTAACTCGTGTGACTTGGGTTCTGCACTGTCTTCACATCACCAGCAGGTGCCGAATCAGTTTCACCAAACGTTTTTAAACAAAAAAAACCAAACGAAACGGACCAAATCAAGACCCTCGTCAATTGAGATGGTAATTCTATGCACAGGGCATTTTCTAGAGATCAACACTAGATGAAGTCACTGCCGAAATGCAAATTGACATTCCGCGATCATGCCGCAAGACCGGTAGAAGTGCTTATTACCAATTTGGTGTCGACAATGTGTAATGCGGCAATTAGCAGGTTTACGCAGGAGTGAAATGTTAAACGCAGGGAGCAATCGATCTCGACGGAACGGCTAATCCACGAAACTGGGAGAAGCTGAACTGATTCAAAATCATTTTGATCTGAAACCGGTGTCAATGTCGACCGATGCTTCAACCTGTGACTAAACAGGACACAAAAGAGGCACAAAGGAAGCAAAAACCGGGAGTTACTGGGAGGAGCGTAGACGGGGAGACGGTCGGAGGGTTTGAGGGAGGAGGTGGGTGTTGCGGGGGTGTGGTCTGCGGCTTTTTTGGCCTCCTGCTCCTCTCGCAACAGCTCGTGGCACGTCCGACAGACGCGCAACTTGTCCGGGCCCTGGGACGGCAGCACCCAGCGGTACTGCGAGCACTTGGCACACACAACCTTCCCGCAATTGCGACAGTGGTGCTGGAACAAACGACAAGGTCAAAGCATGAAGCATGAGTTCACGAATAGCTCTCTTAGTGGTTTGCTGTTAGAAAAGGTTCACATCTAGTTGATCTGAGGACAACGAGTGAGGTGATTAAGAGAACACACGCACACCCCCTAAGAAAACGGCAGATTAAATAACTAAGTTGAGTAGTTTGCTCTATGAGGTGGATGCATGAGTACGATTTCACGAACTATATTGAATTTAGTAAAGACATGGCAAATGACCACAATAGTGAGTTTGTGTCATAACAGCTAGTAATAACAATAGCAACAAGAAATCAGTAATAGATTTTGTTAGGAATACGGCTTACGCATAAACAGCCCTGAGATTTTGCAAAGTTTGAGGGCATGATGCGTGCACTAAACACCGCCGGGTCACCGTTGCACAAATGTTGAAAACAGACTATCAAAAAATAGGCAAAAAAGCGACCGGTGTCGCGTGGAGGGGTACTTAGATGATTCAGAAATCACTGGGAATGAGAAATAACTTTGCACATGAGTTAAATATGGAACTAGTTGACAATAGACACGACACAAAAGAGTCTAGACGACCAGACAAACAGTCGACCGTGGGAACGACATAAATCGCGCAGGGTAGGTCGACAAGTGAGCTGATTGTCAGATTTGAGCATGAGTCATGGCATTAAGAATAACTCGAGGATACTACGCGAGGCGACAGCACGAAACTTCCGAGTGTGTAGGCGAAACTAAACCAGTGTGTGATGTTTTGATCAGCATGACCTAGAAGAGAAGTCTCCGACATGGTGAGGGCGTTTGCACAAGTCTTAGAACCATAAATGCTGAAGCAATGCGAAATTTTAGGGCGTCTTCAGTATCGTAAAAACGACGGCCTAATTAGCATGTAGGTTACAGGGAGCATAAATGTAATTAACGAAACTAAAAGGCAGAGCAGTTTACGGACGTTCAGGCTGCACGGATGTCAAGCGCGCACGCGAACATTCGGTTAGAAGGTAGAATTGCAAATCATGCCACACAGAAAGAAAACTAACTACCGGGCAGAATTTGGCGTCAATTCACACCTTGCTCAAACACAAACGAGTGGATGTATAGGTTTATTCAAAGGTGGTATTTAGCGCTATTTTACACACCATTCGTACGCATAAACACCAAATCCACTAACCAAAACACTAACCAAATCCACACCAAAACACTAACCAATCGGATTATTTTGCCCCACTTTGTCCCGTTTCGGGTTGTAAATGTCACGTGAACACTGGGTCAAAAGTGGCTTGGATTAGTTGCTAACTTTCACACTAAATGCCAATTAATGAATTCGCTTTTTTTTGGCCTGAAAGATTGCAGCAATAATAACAAAGGAGAAAAAACAAGTGTCCAAAAGGCTTTTCGATACATGGAAGCAACTTACACGGCGCTGAACAAGCGTGAATTCTGTATTCAAGCAAACCATGCAATGCGCGGCTTCAGAGTTAGGGATCCACACGGGTGATTTTTGTATTGCGGAAAGCTTTCCCTTGCCTTCTGAAAGTAAAGGGGTTTATTAAGGTGGGTAGTTTGGCGATTTTACACACAGAACCGAAAACTTGGCAATTTGGCGCAATTGACCCAACGCGTTTTAGGCAATAGGCATTAACATTCGGCGATAACAATACCACACAGTTCTTCATAAAGACATCAACTAGACCAGATAATACCAGGGGTTATTGGAGGACAGAGTTTCCGAAATGCACGTGTAGCAGGAAATTTGCATCACGTCAGTTGATGGTAAACAAAGTAACAGAGTGGATGACACACAAAAAGGGGCAAAACGGCTGCCACTTGTCACAAATAAAATATCAGGGCATTATTCAAAGGCTAAAGATTTTTGCCGCCTTTGCACAACTTCACAATTTCACTGGTTGCACTTAGTATACTGTAGTCACCGAAATATTTAATGTAATGTTTCTGCCCGACTGAAGTTGATGAAATTGCGGAAAACTTCTTATTGGCAGTTTAATTGCCAAAACAAAACAGAAAGTAGCTTTTTTTTCAAATAATTACCAAGACCCGCAGCTTTCCTGGAGGCCTCAGCATTCTGAGTGATACTTAACACCCATCGTCGCTTCTCCTCAGCAATTGTAGCGTAGACAGTGAAAGACTTTTTTGGCGTTTCAATTATAAATCCGTTCCTATAAACTACAAACACAGAATAATACCAACGAACAATGGCGCACATACTTCCACTGTCGTCGACATCAGAAACAGAGACCTCTTCCAACTTGAAGGAATGCGGATGCGCAAGCTGTTTAGCCAGCAATAAATAGACTATAAGTAACTTACAAGCTTCCCATAGGAGATGTTTGCATAGACAAGAGCATTATTGAAGAGAAAGAAGGTGCGCTGCTTCGGTTTTCTGCGGCATATTTTTGTCAAAATACCCTTTGCTATGAGACTTTGTTTGTCCTATATCGAAATACAAAGAATTGGAGGCGTGCTTACATCAACCGGCAAACCTAGAAGCCTCTGTGCATTTGTTGTTTCACGTAAACGAGCTTCTTCAAAACCTGATATGGGATGTTTAAGGGCATTTCGGGTCCTTACAGTAATCGGCTTGAGTGCTGGGAGTGTGAGTTAGGGGAGGCCTATGAACTTGAACACTGTATCCTGAAGGTGAGGAGTTTTCCTCTCGGTGGATGCTACAGTAAAAGGATTTACGTTAGGTCATGATTTACAATTTCACCCAATAGTACACCGCTAAGCAGCGCAACAAAATACAGCTGAATAACCAAATTTGAAATTGCGTTTATTCGCGACGTTGGAAATACTAGCGATTGTGTAGGTGAAAAAAAAGTACTCCGGTGACCTTTTCATCAACCTAAATTTAAAACTATTACGAACATTACACAAAAAATACCGCGTGTGTACATAGTCAGATACTAAGTAACGACAAACTAGCAAAATAATGGGATAAAAATCAACTTCAACCATTTTTTCTCCTGATTGAGAAATATTACCTATAACGCCACGAAAAATTCTAGAAACCCAAATTATAAGGAGAGAGAACTGTAGCGCAAGTATATTTCGTCAAAGTTGCATTGTTGATTAGACTAGATGTGAAGTCGGAAAACCTTCTAAAGCCTGTACTTGTTCACTAAGTTACAGCGCAACCAATTGCCATGGCTCAAACAAGTTAACTACATTTTGAAAAAAGAACATTAAATCTTTCATCTGCAGCTGTTTGAAAAACATTAACATTTCAATTATACAGATCGCCAGCAAAAAGTCAAACATCGATTAAAAATTAATCCTGAAATTTGTTGGAGCAATGTATATCATGAGAATACAAACCTATTTAAAGGGCCTTCTATTCCGGGACTCTCACCGATCATTTCGCAAGACACACCGGCGAACAATTCTTACAAATTGCCCGGTAGGTCAAGGTCATGCTATTGCTTTTTCTGAAAAAGATTAAAATATCATAATACTTATCCAACATTCTAACTAAAAATACCGAAGTAATAGATAGCAAATTTTTTTAAACTTGACTTAAAAGCCATTTTTTCGCCAATTATTCGATATTTAGCTACTTCAAACAACTTCGGAGAACAGCAAAGCTAAATACAAAATCTGAATATCGCGTTTTTAGTTTAAGATTTATATTAAGTGAAAGGCAAAAAATGGAAGACGGTACCCACAAAAACAGAATGTGCCATAACGGATTTGCATATTTCGCGTGTGCGTAGAAAGAGCTCATTGTTTGAAGTCACCGTGCGTTAGTCATTAAACAATTTATCAAACACATTTTCAAAATGCTTCTTATCAGCATTTCCAGATGCCAACATTGAATATAAGCCACATAAAGTTTTTTGAACAAAATTACGTTGAATGTTGCGATTTTATATATTTTTAGAGTGATAAGAGTAATTTATTGAAGCTGTTTATAGTATTTGAAAAATTGATCCTCTCGAAATATTTGAGGTTGGTGCATTGGACACCAACAATACTTAAACTTTTTTGAAACTAGTTAAATTCACAGCCAACTTCTGCGAAAGGCACTTTTTATAGTATGCCTTTGGTAATCTACAGAATGACAAAAGTGAAATGTTTCAGAAAATCATCTATCTATAACTTTTAACAGACACTGCAAAAGCATTATAATTAAGCAAAACAAAGTGATTAAGCCTGCACGTTGTTAGTAATACGGCGATAGTAACGACATGACCATAATGTAGTGGATTCATGGATTGAACTTTTACACTTTTATTGAATAAACCATAGTTTGAAATGTTATTTTTCTTTCGAAATTTGTTTGTACTTTCTAATCTATAAGTACCTTTATGGTCCTATTTGAATCTCTTTCGCGGACTTCTAGAAAAACACTTCGCATTTTTATTCCAAGGAAAAGCAAATGCCTTAAAGGCTCATTGGAACGTACACAAGTTTAGTTAAATATGCACTAGCTTTTGCAAGTATTTTGCTTACAATTTGTAAACCATCCATGCTTTTAATTATTTTTACGAAACCATGCGTATTGGATTACGTTGACCTCTACTTATAATCATCCAATAGAAATGCTGGTGAAACTCTAGGTCCTCTTCACGTGGGTAATTTGATTCTAATTGCGTTGTCCTGTTTTGTTCCCATTGTGTGGGCGTCAGCTTTGAGGGTGCGTTTACCATGTACATATATATAAACTGGATTCGTGAGTAGTAACTATCGGGGATATTGTTATTCGAAAGGGAAGAACGTACGTGGTCTTACTTTATGCCGAATTGTAATTTTTTAGTTAGAATTTGTGTCACGAATGTTTAGGCTGCCGAAATCGCAGATTTTTTAGTTTCGATTTAATTTTTTTCAAGCCGACACAGTAAAAGTCAGATTCGAATCTTCCTATGGGCATATAAAGTCTTTAGTATATGTGGTATGTGAACATTCAAAGGCACAATCTCGCCCACTGTACAAATGGTTATAATTTGCTCCGTGTGACTTCTTTTACATGGCAGTTTTAGTCTGCTAGGTTATTTGAGGTTCGTGATTCTCTTCTGCCTCATTATTTGTTAACAGGAAAATCACTAGTCGTAAAAGCTAGCGAAATCTTGAAAATCTCCCCTTTATTGTTTACAAAACTATTTTTTTCATTTTTTAATTGTAGAGCAACTGTTAACATAATGTTTAGTAATTCGTCACCATCATCAACTGCCAGCAGCTCCTACAGCCTCCCACCAGAGTTGCAAAGTTTCCTTACCAAGGGTTCCGCACCTGACAACCAGTCAAACTTAAGCAAAACCCCTTTAATAACCGAGTGTGAAGGAAATGCTCCTCAGCCCACAACAACTCCCGCCTCGATTTTTTCCCGTCGTCTTTTTTTATTCTCAGCTGCGTCTGAGTATGAGCCAGAGACATTTCGTGGTCTTTCTCGGCGACAGCGCTTATTTTACTTTGGTATCTCAGTTTTATGCTCTTCTTTATTCTTTTCATTTGCTCTTATATTCGTTCCATTGCTCTCTACACCCGCAGGTCTAAGAAAGTTCGTTTTTATGTACATACTTGGCAATTTTACTCTTTTGTGCGCTTTTGCTTTCGCCTATGGACCGTGGACTTTTGTGAAGAAACTAGTGACACTCGACAAGCTCCCTTCGACTCTCATCTATTGCGGAAGCTTGTTCTTCGGAATTTTCGGAGTCTTGTGGTGGAGGAGTACAATGTGTGCTTTTCTGGCAGTCATCATCCAGATTGGATTGGGCGTGTGGCAGCTGAAGCAATTCATATGGGGCGGTGCGAAAATGCTGTCCCTTGTAAATAAGATGTCGTCTTTTCGGTTTGGCAGATCATCGAATTCGAACCTTCCAATTTGACCACAAACTCAATTGTTATCTTGTACTTTGTTGTTTTAAATGGTGTGACTTGACACTTTTGTTTTCCATATTGGGAGGGGATTGTTGGCCTACAGTTATCTGGCTTCAACACAGATTTTTTCGGAATTTGCTTAAATTTTAAACAACGGATAAAGTGGATCTTTAATGGCGTTCTATGTTTCTTAAGCTCATTTTACTTAAGCCTGTCCTGAAATGAACTCCCTCGGAACATTTTTATTTCAAGTCTTCTTGTTATTTTGTTAAAGATTAAAGGCATTTAAATGCAAGTTGTCTGACTTTACTCCTGTGAATTATGACTTCAGTGACGCGTAGATTAACCCGAATTGTCCCCAAATTTGGGCGCATAGTGGTACCTTTTTAAGTGAAAACAGGCTTGATTCACATTTGTGTTGCCTTTCATATTTCAACTAAGATTTTTACGTGCTCACAGTCACATTTACGTGTCTGTTTAAAGTGTATTTGTACTGGGGCGCTTAACTAAGTAGTCTTGTGTAGAATTGTACGCTTATCTCGTCGTGTGTACTAATTTGGCGGGTATGTCCAACGTTAGTCGATGTGACGCTGCTGTGTAGGGTGTAAAAGTCGCCATTGGCAAGTGTGTACGTTCATGCCCCACGTGTGGGCGACTTGATCTTAGTGAATTTCAGATTTCTCATGCATTCCCATTAGACGGGATAGTTTTATTGTCAGAATTGCGATTTGAAGTCCTGCATCGCACCAAAGTGAACGGATGACGCCGAATGTTACCCTTCTGAAGCCGCCGGCATTGCTAAACGGCGACCATCTCGAAAGGAAACTTGATTCTTCGATCCTTATTACCAAACATATTTAGTCGACAGCAAAATGAATACCTTGTTCTATTCAATCAGTTATCGCTCCTTTCTTCCCGCCAATGTACATCTACTTTCCCTCTCAACCTATGCTAAGTACTTTCTCATTAAATCCAGAAAATGCCTGCATTTTGCAGCCAAGTCTTCCACAATAGCAGTCCCACAGATGACATAGAGAGAAATTCAGTGCGTAGGTTGTGATTATATTTAGCCCAGAATCCTCCTAGGCACATGTGTTTTAGTAGCCCCAATTCACGTGAATTCTGTCTGAGCAAAACATGTAGTTCCTCAAGTTCGTAATTGCGCTAGTTTTTTAATTCACAGCCCACCAGTGACACCGCAAACAATAACTGTTTACCTAACTTCGGTTCTTTTAATCATAAAATCGATTACTAGTTGGGCTTTTTATAGTTTAACTTGCCCCCACCACAGGCTACGGAAGGCTTTTCATTCCCCCAAACTAGGCGTATTCATGAACGAGTCAAATGGCGTGACGCTTGAATATCTATAATTAATGCAACCTGTCAAATTGTGGTTTCGTGATAAGTCGCGGTTTGTCTTGGACCCGTTTTTATTCGCTAAATTTATGCAGCTTAGGGACTTGTAGCTCACGTTTCAGGCGTCGAATGACCGGTTCGTCGTTCCGGCTTTTGTTTTTTAGTTCGTGCAGGATTTCCACACTTACACCAAATAATGCGCCAGTACCTTGAATAAGTTGGTATTTACCCTACAACACTCTCCAACCAGGTACAGTTGAAACCATGTTGTGGAACTACTAATCCCTCTGCCGCGATTGGCAACGTTGACTTTGCGCCGCTATTAGTGCATAACAATATGCACCATTCAAATCGTCTTTCCATCAGATTGATAGCGCAGAACTGAAGCAGGGGGAACAGTACGTAGAGAACAGATCTGAATTCTTGTCGCCGAAGTGACTTAGGATGTGCAATGTGACAGAAAACTCAACTTTTAAACACGAAGAAGGAGCCTTATAGGTGTTCCAAGATGTCTTATCATCCCTCGTCGTCTTTGGAAAATTCGACTACGCACTTATGGAATGTAGTGGACTGTCAGGTATCGCAGAATTATGGATCTCACTCACCCACACACAGGACACTTGACTGGCTTGAACGAATACACGGTCATATCCGCTATTGTCTCTCTTCTCTCGCATTTCGGGTTTTTAAGGACTGTTAACTAGCGGGATGTAAGATATTTTTAGGCAGGCCACTACAGGAATAACTAGAACTAATTAGCGAATCGCTGTGCCACTCTACGATGCAGAGTTCTGCAAATTTCGAAATCTGATTATGCGAGAGACGCGATTGTAAACAGTAATTTTCTAAGAAAGTTTAAAGACCATGAGTGGAGTCGCATTCCTTGTGTCAAATAAAACAAAAAGATGATTGGGAACGATCGACAGGTCTTGGTGAAGCACGAAAGCTTGATCCTCCACGAATGGACTTCAGATTTCGATGTGATTAGCGCTAGCTTCGTCTATTTGAACTGCAATCATTATTCATTCATGATACTGTAGACGACGCATAATTTAATGACACAGCTTATTGGTTTTAAAATCCTTAGAACTGCCAAGCAATAGATACAAAAAAAACTTCCTCTAAAATTAGTGCAAAAATAACGCATACTAATACAGTATAGTAGAAATATGCACATGGTAGTTTAAGCTTGAAAGACAAATATTTACCTTGATTTCTAGATCAACTTGATACATACTAACAAAGGTGGAAGATTTGGCTTCAAAAAGGCAGCCTTATAGGAAAGCTTTGACCTTCATCATGGTTTGTTGTGTGATTTGGGTGTGAATGACACGCCAGGGGTATTGAAAAGCAAAATTGCCGGGGCCTGCAGGTAAAATGTCAAGTAACTTTCAAGTGTCTTTTTTTCGGACAAACTAAAGATCTCACAAAATTGCTAGAGGGAATTCCGTGGTTTAAACAATTACTGCAGGCATGTATAGTATAGCCAACAATGTCCAAACCTCGCTAACACCTGATAAAGCACCGCATGGTTAGACTTCGCTTAAAAAGTACAAACTGGCCATTGGAAAGATAGCTAATTCGCCAGTATATACCGGTTTAAGCACTTATGCATCACTTGGAGGCCAATTTAATCGCGCAATTTGCCTCACCATATAATTTAGGTACAGACCTATAGTTTGTCCAGCTGCGCCTACCAATATGGCTCCACAACGGGCTGACTAATGGCGCAAGCATTCATGAATATAAAGGATTATTAGACGTTGAACATAGAACAAACCAGAACGGTATGTTTGACCAAAAGCAAGCGTGAGACGATTGCCCCAATGTCCAAATGTTTGGGCAAGTGATAGTGGAGTACTATAAGAATGCAGTCAATGAGGAATGCAGTTGTATTCTATGCTGAGGCTACACAAAATATAATGATTGGAGGTTGATTTGGAGTAGACACAATACAGGAAAACAGTATATAATGAAAGCTATTAATATTATGTACAAGGGCATACTGCTCCTGATAAACATTCACTTTGCAAAGACCCCGACGTAAGCAGGACGCAGAGTTCTATCATGCAGACGGTAGCCCACTTTTTGGACGACGGCAACAGTATTTGGCTTGCTTTCACCATTCAATGGGATGGTGAACATTGCTTCGTGTATATTTGGGTCAAAAATTTCCCCAATCTCTGGAGCAATCTTGTGCAAATTGTGTTTCCCGAAGACCTAAAAAATCAACCAACTAGATGATCCCCACACAGCTTAATAATTGGAAGAATAACACAAAGAAAACCTTAAACTACCTTTGAGAACAAAAAGCATAGTATAGCGAAGGGGCATAAGTAACAGAACTCAAGTAGGATGTTCTAAAAATAAACTGACCTTCATTAGTTGAGCATCAGTCATCCTTAATCCTTCAAACAACTGTCGAAAATGCGGGTTGACACCCTCTTCGAGCTGGCTTTCAGGAGCGCTTTCAGTGGCTTTTTCTAAAATATCCGCCACTTCAAGCAGATCTTTGCAGAAAGACTGAATACCGAAAAGTTTGGCCTCATCTATTTGACGAAGCATACGCTTTCTAACATTTTCGGCCTCCGCAAGAGCTCTTTTATATTTATCTTCGAATTCTTCGCGATCATGTGCTAATTGTTTGTTAACAGAAAGGAGATCATCCAAGTCCTTTTGCGATGGTGGAGGGGCCGCTGTGGTGTTGGAATTTTGCGGCACCTCGGTACTCATCCGAACAAAACACGGGCTAATTTTAGTTTCCATTTGAAAAAAAACATACTTACCAAACCTGTGGTAATAGCCACTTGGCTGAGGCCAGCCTGCACGACAGAGTCCGCAAACCAATCATCACGTGGGCTTTGACAAAAATGCAAGGCTGATTTTGCCACTTATTAATTAACCAATCGCAAGATAGAGCTCACGAGAAATATGTCAATTTTATGCAGAAATCTGACCATCTGATGGCTGCTGCCTCCTAAATCTTTGTTTGCTTAAACAACATCTATAGGAAAACTTCAACCCAATAGTTTGTCACACGTGCGACTCGGTGCATCAGGCAACATGCCATACATTGGCAACTTCTTTCCATATTTTTATCTATGTAGACCTACCCAACAGTTAGTACACAGATTTAACTGAATATCCGTAGATCTCAATATTTCATTTACCAACCATTTTCCTTTTTCACATGTCATTATCCTATCTTGAATAAACCCCTTTGGAAGGACTACCGTCTCCATCCTTCTCCTGCATTTGAATGCCTGCATGGGGGTAAAACTTGCTTGCTCTGCCTCCGTTAGCCACCTCTTATTGCAAAGCCAAGTGTCACCAACTACCTACAAGACTAATTAGGTTATTTTTTCGGTGCATTATTTGTGGAACTATATTTATTTAAACCCAGCATATTGTAACACGGTTATTTAGGATTGTCAAAATGCTTTCAAAATCTACCGCTAGCATGTGTATTGAACCAAGTAAAAATGTATTAAAAAGGTCATCATTTATTTTAGAATTCCAAAATGTTTTTTTTTAATACGACGCACTGTTCAATAGACTTTATTGCAAATTAGATTGAAATTGTAAAATTGGTTATAGTAATAATAGTCGGGATATAGAAATTAGACAGTAAATGAGTTTTGATTCTCTAGACACACTTGTGATTTCTGTTATTCGTTTTCTTTAAATAATTGTGCATTTTTCGTCGAAGACGCGGCACTCAATCACGAAGCTTTAAGAAATACATTAAATGGGCTAAATCACTTGAGCTTTCCCATAGTTTTGCATTCTTCTAGCCATACTTTCCTAACAGAAAGTGCGTTTAACTTAGAAATAGCTATTTATGAAAACCTGCATTATTGTTAACTAAGGTTCCAAGCAGAGTTCCTCCGTCATCACCATCATTGTAAAGACCTCGGGACTTTATGCAGACGTCAAAACCAGGCCCAGTGCAAGAATCTCGTTATTTGTCTGCTTTTTTGCTATTTTAACTACTTAGAGTTGATTCTTAAGACGTTAACACGAAAATTCATAAATGCCAATAACTATGAGGAGAAATGGGTCTAGGAACAACCTCCTCAGCAGAACCGCAAAACGACTGCCGCAAGGCACCTAGTAAATGAAACTTTATCAGTTAGTAGGATTCAGGTCTCGTATAATGGCAAATGAATTTCGTGATTAGAAGAAATAAATACGATACAATTACGAAGGCTTTATACGCATTCCCAACCAATGATGTGATTTGGCAGAATAAAAGCATTTCCCCACCAATGAATCGTTAGATCGAAAATTCCTACATTTCGGTGCTCTTTAAAAGGATGAGAAAGTGGATTGTGAACAACCGCAACTAGAGTGCATGTAAACATAACTACAACCCCCTGCCGTGGTTCGCCTGATGCAAGAACGATTTACGCTCGTCACAAACTGACAGTTCGGCACGATTTTAAATGCATACAAGTGGCGGACACACAAGTCGTGCACGTAGCTGAGCTTTTTCTCCCTAAACTACTTTGTGCAAACAAGTTTATGAAAGCATTAAGAAATTTCTTTCTGGCACAAATTAAAAGGGAAGTGGAATATACAAAGGTGGGAGATAGGCGGCTGGGGCCACTATTCGAGCCTCCATTTCTCTGGAACGTATGGCTCAGGAGGCTCGTCTGACTGTGTTAGCGTAGATGGGTCAGCGCCAAGAGTTTCCTCATATATTTGCTGTTGTTCTACCTGCCAAGCAGCTAGGTGTTCTGGTTTGACTAAACGATTGTAAAATCTGTCCCAAATATAGCCCTGACGCAGCTTTGATAAACACTAAAATGAGGACAGGGAAAGATAAAATCTGAGAAAACAATATACATTATAGAAGTGAATAGACAAGGAGAAAGTTGGTTGCAATTTCCGCCTAGCCTCCATTGCTATATAACTCAGGCAAAATTATGAAAGACTACATCTCGCTCAGATTCTTGAAAATACCCACCATGCGTAAATAAGCTATTTGTCGTAACTTTAAGGACACCAATGGGAACCATTTGCGTTACCTGAGTTAAAACATAAAACTTTGTTCATGCTACCACTTGTTGAAGTAGAAGTAATGGAAAAACCTAGAAAAACTTTCCAGCCTGACAGCGAAAAACTTAGTTTTGGGAAAGCAGAAAAATTCAGGGTCAAATTAGGTTTGGAGAAACAATAAGCTAAATAACAAAATCTGTCGCAAAAGAACAAACCTGGTATCGTGGTTTCTTTTTTATTCTACCAGCTCGCGGACGCAGAGAATACGGATAAGTCTGCTGACCCCAATCTGGTGTGGAACGCAGTTCTTCAATGAGGCTGGGGTAAAGGGAGCGCTTTTGCTCGGTGGATAGAGAATCGTAATCAATCCCATAGCTTTCTGGTCTTGGGAGACATTCTTCTTCTAAGCATAACCCAGATTCCAAAAGAGCGTCGTGAAATGCTTTATTCTTTGTACTAGTTAGTGGCGTTTCAGTGATATCAAAGAGCACTGATGTAATTCCCATACACAGACACCTGTATGCTAAAATTCGACCAATATTTTCGGCAGCAGAAACATCAACAGGACTGTAGAGCCGCTTGTTTATTGCAGTTTCTTGCGTGGACGCAGATACAACGACACCTGACGTCTTGTGGATCACAGAGCCAGTAATGTGGTGCTTTCCACGTTCAAGAACACATCTATAAGGCAAAAATTACAACAAAGTACAACATACTTGTGCCAAAAGTCCTTTCTTGGTGATTGAAATTCCCAACCGGCTGTTTTGTCAGCAATACCCATCAACTCGAAATTTCTAACACTAAAAAAATTATGTTTCATTACCTTGGGTTCCGATTTACATACGAATAAGACCTGAACAAAGTCTGGCAGTATGTTTTAAAAAAATTGTGCCGAAGTTTAGCACAAAGCAATCTTGAAACATCAGGGAATGCCATAACTTAGCCAAAGCACTGACTTGTGTCAACTTGGGCCAGCAAGTCAAGGTCGCACATCATTGCGTGAATCACAATAATAAAAATGAATTTAACTATTCGGGAATCACATTTCGTACGCACACATATATGTGTTCTTAAATTTACGTGAACAAACATTCAGTAAATGGGAGATATAGGCATATTAGCCTGGTGGTGTGTTGCACCAAAAATAACTAACCTACGGTTCCTTTTCTTTGCAAACGGTAGCAAAGGCGATTTTTAAAATATCAATGACTTGTAGCAAAATTTCTAAATACTTTTAGGTATAAGAACTTTGAACGTAACATCACATTGCAAGATTTTAAAGCAGCGTAAGTTGAAAACTATGGGGTCTAAAAGTGGGATTTTCTCATCGACATTGCCACAACCTTTGAATGAGTAGTTCATAGTTCTCAAAATTAATCTTTTTCTTAGAACTGGATTAACTTGAGGCTTTAGTGATGCATATGGCAACAGCTATGCAAAAATGGAACAGATGTTCAATTTTTATTAACACCCTCACGCGTTTGATGGATAAAATTAATTGAAATAGTTTTCAACATTTTTTCTTGTTGATTTGCTGCTTGGTCCTATTACTCCTATCAAGTTAAGCAGGCCACACAGTTTTGCTCCAAAAATTGTTTACTTTAATTAACATAATTGTTCTTAAGATAATGACAAAGTATCCTTGTTAAGCACAATGCTCTGTGTGACTTGATTTATTGTACTGCAGATTATTTCGTAGTGGTTAGGAGTGTGCTCCGTATAAACCAGCTGGTAATCCTCCTTATTTCCGAACATTCAATTATATTTTACTGAGAAAGCGCTTAAAACGGTTATTGACTTGAGCAAGTCAGATTCGTTAGTTCTTTCGGTTCTGGTAAGTTATTATTTATCATCCTTTTGGGCGTAACACCGAATACCACTTTCTGGATTGTTAATGACAGTCATCAGTAAGTAATGTCTGTGAGTGCATTGTAATTTACAAACATGGAGTCATAATTTTTTTTGATTTGAAACAATTGGTAAAAGTTGTCATTGGTTAATATAAAATGGCAATTCTTGCGGTTTTTAAACTATTTGTTTTGACAATGAAGGACAAATGTCCATGAATTAGTATATGGCCTTTTCAAGATTTGCTGGGATTTAATACAACTATTTTACACAAGGGACATTTGATGAAATTTGCTGTATTGAGTTCGGTCTGTTTGCGTTTGACTTTGCACGCAAAAAATATTTTTGTTACATAACACATTCTAGTTAAATAATTTTTATTTTGAAACTTAAAAACTAGGATGACAGTTGTGCAGATTGCCTGCATCCTTTTGCCGCCGTTGCTTCGATTTCTCAAGTCCCGAAAACGACAAATTAATTGACATTAGCAATCATCTGATGATAGTAACACTTTTTTTTAAAAAATTCTGCAGTGACACTTATTTTAAGACATATTGCTCCTAAGATTGCATCCTCTCCTCTGTTTTAGGACTTAGAAGATTCTTATCTAGAAACCATATCAGGATGGTTCTGCAAAAAACTGAGTAATTAAACTGGTCAAGTGGTTTTTCAAATGATTTAGAAGGCTATTTTGATCAGACCACTTGTACAGCTTTCCGGTGAAGCTTTGTCAGCTGCCAAATTCCGAGTTTAAACACGCTTTGTAGTCAAAAAAATTTCAAAAAGATTCCATGATTCAAGTTAATAATTCCATTTGAACATCGTCTTGTTGCATTCAAAGATGCGGATAAATTTTTAAGTGATTCATTTAACAGTGACCACAGTTTAAAAGGGTTAGAGATCATGTCATGATTGAGATGTTTTGGTTTGCATTTTAGTCCAAATAACTTCAAAACTCTGGAATTCAATGTTGCGCGAAGTCATCAACTACAGATACAACGATTGTGACCCGTGCCATCTTGTCAACAGACGTCAATCGAGCCTGCTAAGTTCTTACCCCGTATGTTGGAGCAATTCCCCAAGCAAAACAGTTGGAAGCCCTCGTTTGACACGTCAAAGGCTTTCCAGAATAAGAGAACACTAGAGCTTGTGGAAAGGGCTTTACTGTCTGAGCCAAAGTTTTTGAGTTCAAGATGGGGTCAAAATCGGAAGTCGAGTGGATGCTCAGATGTACCTCCTGATGTATGTATATGTGCCTGAGAGATCCGGGATCGATGAATTTAGCAAATAGCACTAAGGAATGAGTTCTTGGCGTGAACAGTGAGATGTCGTGAAAATCAAGTTAACAGAGCTAAGTGATTGGCCGTCACAAATCACTGTGTTAATTTAGTTGTCCTGGGAAATATTGACATCCCCTGCACCCTTGTCTTCCCGTACCCCTTCCCTTTCTCAAGCTGGACCTGTGGGTCAACACTGATACCCTTTCTACAGCCACCTTCTTTTACTCCTACACTACTCCTCTTCCTACGCTCTCGACATTTTTCACGCTAATCCATAATGCACCTGGTGCCTCCCACTACTCGTCTTCTGTTGCATTTCTGGTAGCCAACCCTGGTGATGTGGCTATCCTCTTTTAGATTCGCAGTCGGTCGGTACGTTACACGATCTACCAGGGATCTATGATGACCTTTTACTAGTTACTTCAATCCCATCTCACAGATCCATGTAGAACAGACTTCATGACCATTTGTGATAGAATTTTGAGTTTACAAGCTCAGTAGAGGAAAATCTCAAAACGGGCTCGAGGTTTACTTGAATTTACTGCCCACGCAAAACAACTAGTTTCCTTTGCATTCGTCGCTAGTCAAGGTAAACAAAACCGCAACTGCCCTGACTGCACTAAAGTGTGAGAAAGTTTGATTTGGTTTCCAGTAATCTTGAGTAAATGTGCGTCCCTCTTGCCCTCAGCGAATTTCCCATGCCAAACATTGCAATAGCGATCCCTCCTCACGACACTTGATGTCAATTATGAGACGTAAATTTTATGCCGGCAATAACGCCTTTATCGAATCATGCACACATTTGAATCTTGAGCTCCATGACTACCTTCGTGTGTGTTTAACTTGACATTGATTGATTTTCTGGAGTAGAGCTCAACGATATTGAAAGCACGCTCGATTTCCGTACCAGAAATCAATTATACTGTTGAACCATACTTTGTTCACTCTGAAGATCGGTCTTTGAGCTCTACACAAGCTCCTCTTGTTCACTCTTCGACCGAAAATACAGGGTTTTAGTAGCACAAAGTGACTATGTTGCTAAATAAAGTTAGTGATACCCTAGCTCTGCTTTTTATGGCAGGTTTGTTCCGTTTTCAAGTCAAAATAAAAAAAATTTGGTGAAATTAAAAACCTATACAGTTATGATAATGGCTGGCGTTAAAACACACAGGAGAAATCCGTGTAGGATTGTCCTTTAGGGAGAGATAACATTTCCTTCAGACGAATTACAAGTAAAGGTCGAAGGATTTTTAGGCGACAAGTGAGCACATCGATCGATAATCTCTGGTACTAGTAGTGGGTCACTTGCGGTACAGGTAGAAGACCAATTCCAGTTCAATTTTAGGGTGATTCCTCTACTGGTGGAAGGTTAAATCAAGGTCACATCCGATATTTGTGAGAGGTGAATCATGGTACAGATGCGAGGTCAATTCCAGATAGATTCAAAGTCAGCATAATTGACGCAGAATCGATTCGACAATATGGACAATGAGCAGATCTTCAGTGTAATTTAAACAGTTCTACGTGGACTGTTTGTGGCGTCAAGTTTGTGGCACTGACAACCCTTAAATCACGTCCTGAGAAGCTATAATGTTTACATGTTAGTCCTAACTTATCCGTTCGCTTATTCCGATTCTTTCCTCACTGCAGCCTACAGTTTGCTTATTGAACGAGCGGTTATTATGCTGAATGATGTTTAACGTGTGCAAGGCCGTGTCTCCATTTAGTTGTCGACATTTACTGTCATAACGTTTGTTGTTAAGGAAACCATTCCTGCATTGTCGAGCGTCCGGAATAGTCCTCTTTTCTTCGCTGGTCTGGCGTGTCAATCCATCCAAATAACGAAACTGATGCAATGTTGCCCTTTCAAGTTTATATTGAAACTTCTGTGATCACGGTCCGCCGCAAATTCTTCGTGGATGCTGGGTCGAAGCGACGCTGTCTGTAACCCCAGACTACAGTCCTGTTGATGCGGACGACATCTTTCACTATCTTCCCGTCAAATTAGCCGGCCAGAGATCACGAGGGTGTGAGTACACGTGGAATCCAGAACGATTTAAGAATTTCTAGCGTCGGGACCGGATTGCAGGTGGCCTTGTGAAGAGAAACGTGAAGGGTACAAGTGAATGCATTCGAGATCCATACAATTAAATATCATTTTAAATCGAAATCTGTTTATAGAAGTCTTTCTTTTTTCTTCTGTGCAAAGTTGGAAATGCGAAGAACTGGCAAAAAGTCTTGAGCTACGTTTGCAGTTTATGGATTTTATTGTTGATATTCTGAAATCCCCATTGTAGCACCTTCAACTTGAGGTTTGAAGAAACCGTCCGATTTGTGCTAGTGGCTATACCGAATTCGGCGCCTGGTTTTTCATTGGTCAATTATAATTCTCAGCCGTACAATTGGATTTCCTCACACTTCAAGCACAGGTGAAAATTAGCACTTTGTGCAATTATTTTTTAAGGGGTGACAATTAGAAAGGTAAACAGGGAATTCTCTTGCAGTGGAAATAAAACAGTAAGCAATAAGTAATTCTCCACCTTTTGAAGACCTCGCAACAACATTTGGTTAAAATGTGCTTTTTCCCTGGTCCAATACTACTAAGATTTCAAACAGTAGTAGCAGCCGAAACATGTCAATTTTATTTCCTATGGCAAACACAACTTTAAATTTGAGATCTTCTTTTTCTTACCGTGGACAACTAAATTGGCCTTGCAGTACCTAGTGAATCAAAAATGTGACCGCATATTTCAACGATTAGACACTTCGTGGCAATAAAACTGGTTTGCTAGAACCACAGAATTCGTTCTGACACAATTCTGTTGTAGTTGACTGTCAGCAATCGCATGTGAGTTAAGATTGCTCATAGAATTATTGATTCCAATGACTCACCCCTATTTTTCATTGGTTTTTTGCACAAAACAAAGAACCCTGGCTAGTGTGACGCCAATTAACGGTCGCGTCCGCTGTTGCCTCTGTTGTCTTTGTTCTCGGATTGTCACGGGCTGTGAAATAAAAGAAAGTCCATCAATATTATGAATCTTGGTACCATAACCAGCCAGAATCTGTGTCAACAATTGGTCTGCAGTTTTTTTTAGACTCTAGTGTGCTGGCAGTGGCGTGATTAAAACTCTGGCCTGCATGTGAATGGTGACAGTGAAGTGGCCACTTTATCACTGAGATTTTTGTTGCGTTCATGGGATCAAATCATAAATCCTCAACTCCCATATTTCTAACTTGGCCATTTCACGCAGGAATACGTGTTTTTGGAAAAAAAATGAAATGTCAGGTTCCTGTGGCGTGTGTCCACACTCTGAAGCATACCAGGCGTGGAAATGTGTCTCATGATGTCTAGATCAACTATCTTAAAACAAGTGAATTGTGTTTAAACACAAGATTTACTTCAAGTTAAAAACAATAAATTTGGCTAAGGAAGGGCTTGACACACGGATGAAATTATTACTTATTCCAGGTATTTAAGTAGGCTTCTTGGAGTGTTTTTCCGGACTTGTCCAAGCAATTCGAGAGTCTATCCGGGTGTGAGCACTAATTATGCTTGTGTTTCTTTATCGATTGCGCAATTCACAACAAGTGAATTTTTTTGCCTACAGCGCCTTTCCCGCCAAATTTGCCGTGAAGCGCAATCAAGCCGAAAAACCAGACTCCCAGTCAATGGAAGCTAGAACAAATCTCTTCAAGATGTCGATTTTCTTGCTTTTTGTGTGGTGACATTCGTGGGGAGATTGAATGTCACATCATTAGGAGAGCGACTGCAAGGTCTCACTCAATTAAACCAAACAAATGAGAATGATCACGGCCTCAATGTATCCCGGTTAGCGAATCACACGTTTCTTGCCTCGCAGTGAAATAAACCACACCACTTCTTGTCGGGCATTTCCAAAACGTAGGCTGGTAGGATTAGGTTGGGATACATTTCCAGGGGGCTAACCTATGAAGGTAGTCATAAATGCAAATTCCACGTCCTGTTCGAATATACTACTAAAATCGACTGTTGAGTACTTGTCAAAACCAAAGAAAGCCCCTTCCAGTTTATCGTAAGTAAAGGAAAAGCCCACGAGAAGGTTGTACGGTTGTGACACTTAACATCAGTGCAAACGGAATCGGCTTGCAAACAAACTAGACATAATATTATCATTGTGTTGGCAGTAATTTGCTTGGACCACCTCACAATCATGTTAGCTAACACCCCATAACAGTCCAATAACGGAGGCAAAGCAGGCGAATAGCGTGGGAGAGTGAATGTTGATTGGTTATTGATTCAAGTCGTGAGCAGAGCTCACTCTCGTTCACTGACAGTCCACCGCACGCCATTGGCTCTGGGCGTCTTTTCAGAATGCTGATTGCACAGTCGTGATTACATGAATGGATGAGTGGTTTCAATTATAAATGCCGCTCTATTCTTGTTTAAGTGGATTCGATGCAGAAACCGCTTGTGCATAACTTAGATTTCTGGCATTTGCTGCTGTTACAAAGTGATTTGAAACTAAATTGACATCTGACATTAAGGTTATTTGTAAAGATAAACAAATATGCCCAGCGTAATTAATTAATTCGAATTACTGGATATAATTGCATTTCCTGTAAAATTTGGAACCTTCAAAATAATTGGTTAAATATGTGTTTACTCAGGCTTGTTAACAATATTTGCGTGTTGATCACAGGAAGTTCATCGGTTGTTTTCTAGACCTCGTTGGACCCAAAATCGCTGTTTGCATAAGAAATGACAAGTTAACAAGCTGCACGATGACTGCACACCAACTGGTTCCAACTGTAATTACCAAGGTTTTTGTGTGTAATGGAATCAGGTGCAGCGTAAGCTGATCACACCGGTTCCTCGTCTAATTCATCTTCTTCCTCTTCCCGGGCAGTTTTTATGGACACGTGCGACTCCTGCCATGTGCCTTTCCAAGCAAATAATGTCAGACCCAAGTAGACGGCACACAATGCTTAAAACCATCCTTTCTGCATCCCCTTTTCCTGATTCAAGTGGGTCAGACGATTCCCATCAACCTCTAAAACAAACCATACCACAACCCTTGAATACGTAGGCAGGGGAACTGTCCGAATCTGGTATAGCTGATTGGAACAATTGATAACCATCTGACTCAGCAAAAAATGTAAGTTGATTGTGTACCAGTGACTATTCGGCATACTGCTTTCTTGCTTGCATTTTATGCGGTGTTCTCCTGCAATGGAGAAGCTAACGATATCCCTATGACACTCTTCCAAGGCGACAAACAAAAATAATTCGACTTATTGTGTTGAAAAGAACAAACAGCACACAATCTTATCTAAAAACAATAGCTATCAACTTTTATGCACTTTGTTTGAGTCAAGCAAGCGAAGAATACCTGATTCCCGTTTTGAAAACACCGAGTCGAAGTTTAATAGGGCATCTAGGTGACAAATGAATAATTTTGCCACTGCGGTAAAGGCATTTGTCACCCTCTGATTTTACGTCACAATCGTGACGTCTACACCAGACCGTCAGCAGACAACAAGGTTGCAATAACCGCTGTAGAATAGCAGAAAAATTGCACACAGTCTGGTTGTGCAAAGCGTGTTTGCTCATGGGGCAACGACGGACAAGGCAGCCATCAGTATTGACATCGGTTCTCCGTGCATGCGTATCTAGCCCTGCAGGCTTTCCTCAGGGGACAATTGGGTTGTGCTCTGTAGGTCCCATTCTCCCTCATTCTCTCCCTCTCCTCTGTTCCTGCTTAGTCGTTTACGCACACACACACACACACAAAAGTAGCCAGAAGGGTAGGCGCGTGTGAACGCTCGCAAACCCGCTACGTTGAGTAGCGCGCGAGCCTTCGCAGCCGAGCAATTTGACAGATCCATCACCACCATGCGGCAGCTGCTGCTGCTGATGATGATGATATTTTCCTCTTGCCGGAAGTGACGCTGGGTGCGCTCGCTGCATCGTGCCCTCCTCCCCCTCGGTGCCTCCTGAAACACCCTCGAGCCCTCTCCACATGATTGACATTCCGTTGCTGCCTCGATTGCAGGGGTAGGGGGGCGGTTGGAGAGGGGTGGAAAGCAGCATATTTTCCCACTTGTTTACGAATCAAGAAACGTTAAGCTGTCTGTGTGATTTCAAGCTTTTATGGCACTGATTCCACCTCCAGAACACCCGATCGGAGATGCCTTAAACGGAAACGAAGAGTGTCATGAGATTAGAACAGACATGAAGGATTCTGCAATAACAGTAATAGACGAATACAATGATGAATCGACTAGTTCGGCAAAGTGTGCATTTTATCCTAAGCAATAGATATTATGACAATTAACAGAGTACACCATAAATTTTCCACAATTTACTAATGCAAAAAAATGTACAGGCTCACCGCTATCAGCCAGTTCAAATGATGTCCCGAACAAACCCATGTACCAAAACAAGGAGTTATACGGAAGTAACACTGCAGATATTGTACCCGTTTATGTCAGTTTTTGGCAAAAAACAACTCCCGGCCAAGCGGGATTAGTGGGATAATTGCAAGACTAGCAGGAAATACAACGCGGGGTTCGATATGTTCAGCGTGGAAGTCTGTTAGACAGTAAGGAATGCGAAGCCACCACTATAAGGCACGACATGACTAATCCACCCAACTTTGTCTAGGCGCTGACTGGAAGTGGATATCCCTAGAGCGGATGAAAAAAAATTTAACAGTACTGCCAGCAGCTCTGAATGCAGTTTGAACTCATGTGGAATTCTTGACAGACTTACCCATTCGAGGTTTGTGGGTTTTAGCAAGACTAACACATCAACTCAAAGAGCCCAGACAAACGCCCGAGTCATTCGAACAAATGACTGAAACACGCCATTGAGCTTGAAACTCATATTAACGAACTTCGAGACGAATTTATATTATGTGTATGACTAAATTGTTGCAGGTTTTTCAGCCAATTTTTTTTAGTAATAAAAATTAAGTCATCGAATCTAATCTTGGGAATATTAATCCTCGTTTTCTCTGACCTTGCCGTCGAGATAGAAGCTTACGGGCTTCGAGTCAGTAAAGTCGTTGACAAAATTTACCCGCATTGTCCGAAGTTTTGAACTGATCGTCCGCTAAGGCGTTCTGCTTCATTGACGGCAGTAAATGGTAGTCTGATGGGGCCAAGTCTGGTGAAAATGCCACGTGTGGAAGAACTTCACATCACAAATTCAAGAGGGTCTTCTGAGTCGCGCAAGCAACGTGAGGTCGAGCGCTGTCATGTGTTAGCATGAATTGCCTGCTTCCTTCCTCAGTAAATGGCCTTTTCTGATCTCTGGTCTCTTTGTTCAGTCAGTTCCATTGTCGGCTGTGGGGTTGCGCAGTCATCGTCTGGCGACCAGTTTCCAGGAGCTCGTAATAAAATACACCATTTATGTTCCACCAGATACACAGGAGAACCTTCTTCAAATGAATGCCCTGTTTGGGCATCGATGCACTGATTTGCCCGGTATCTACCCGCGACCTTTAATGTGTGAACTTCTCGTCAAAGTATACTTTCCATCACCTGTCAGAAGCCTCCACAAGAAGTCCATCCACTGCTTTTTGCTGGTGGACAAGCAGTGAAAGCTCGTGTACATACGTTGAGAAATTATATCACTCACGTATTCTAAATTCTTGCGTCCGATCCTTTCAAAATCACCCAAGACGACGAAGATATTCATATTTTATATATATTTTTCTAAAGTTCAAAATTCTTGCAAATACCGCTAACCACGTATTACATTCGCTTTGATAAATCGCGAACTTAACTCGTGCTTAGTGGTTGTTCTTTTTTAGGGGAATCTGTCGAAAGACTGAATCTGAAAATCACAACCAACCAATGGCAGTAGCAGAGGAACTCTTCTGAAAGTTTTCCACCGGAAAAAACCGGCAGGTTTTGGGATTAAGAGTAGGCAAGTGAGGCAACGAACTACGTCGAGATTTAAACCCGATTCTATCGGAGTTACTAAGTTATGGAAAACTTCTTCAACCTAAAAACATCCACCTCGTGGACAACCTGGTGAATTGTCGGTGTTCCTTGTCTTGGTTGATTAGTTGTAGGGCTTCCGTCTGCGACGGTGACATCTGTCGAGCTAATTCAGCTGCTTAATTGTCACGTAGATCATTTAACAAGAAGAATCAGTCGCATTGAACGGAAAAATGTTCGATCAATCAGTGTGATTGACGATTGACAGTCTTCCACAGCAATGGGGACCATGAAGTGAAGACAACCTCTTCCACTTTTGCATAACTAAAAAAAGATATATCAAAGCAAGCGGTACACAATCGTGTGTGTCGAAACATTTGACTGTTGTGAATGAACATACAAAAATTTTCACCAGAAGTGCTGATGCACTCTAAAAATGAAGCCATAGACTAAAGCCACCAATAGCTTTCGAGGCATTGATCAGTCGCCCGTGGAGTTCGTTTGACTGCTAAAATGTAGCCGCATTTGATGCTGAGGCTGAATAGAACTATCACATTCTGGAAAACAATTATCCATTCAACATTGTCACTATTGTTGATCAGGAAAGGTGTTGTAGTGTGCTGCAAACTGGCTTAACGTTTCCATAGATTAAATAATGGCTTTATTGGCTATTAAGGTGGCTGGGAGACAGTGCATCTACGCAGCTATATCAGCTCCTAACCGATGCTACTGGCTCGCGGAAACAACTTGATATGACTGAAACGTTAGAACCAAGACAAATCAGTAAAATATATTTTTGATTAGTTTTGGACCGAGTGGTGATCTGAGGCACCCAGAAGCGCAAGACGGTTTGATGATGGATTTGTCTTACTGTGGTAAACACGGAATTCACCTGTTTTTTAGCAATCGAGTGGAAACCAATCCAGAGTCCTAACCTGATTTTGACTTCAAAACCAGCAACACTAATTGAAACAAATTTCTTCTTGGATCGAAGGAGAGGTCCAGGCTTTCCATTCATATCTTCTCTTGAAGACCAATGGTCAGCATTCCACCAGATCGCGATGTTGGCCGTGGGGGAGTAATAAGATAACGTTCGGTGTTTGCTGAGGTCTTTGAGGATGCGGAATTCTTCATAACCCGAGGTCTAAAATAAGTATAGTAAAACAAAGGATGTGTCATTTATCGGTACTACTTTTGCCAAGCTTTGAGTCACGGAACATGTGTCTACATTAATGTCCCTAGTGGTGAACTACTAGAGGATATGCACATTCACGGACGCAAAATATGTTGGTTGACGCGGCATCAAGGTAGTGAAGCCGAGTTCAAGGTCTCTTTCCGCGTTCCGATGATGTAGGATGAAACTGTTCCGTTTGCCCGTAAAAAAGAGAAACCCACTCCGATAAAAGGTACCAGATCCCTTGTCTGACGCAAGAACCGACCTTCTCATGCTAATGCAAGGCAAGACCAGAGCTCGTACAGATAGCTTCAATCGTCTCAGCAAAAAGGCGAGTGATCACTCATAAAAGTAAATAATTGTAAAGGTCCAGGTCGATCGCGACCTGATGGATGACAATGGATTAACACAGATGTTAGGGAATTATTGTAAATAATGACGAAATCGACGATGAGTCATCTCAGGGAATCCTGGATCCCTAACAGAAACCGCCTCACAGAACTGCTGAATGCAAGTGGTCTTCAGATATTTCCAAAACTTAGGCAAAAATGCCGCACCATAAACTACAACTGTGACCCTAGGAAGCCCAATTTAACGTCAATTGAAATCCTCAAACTAAACGTCATTTCCAAGCAGCTAGTCCATCCTTCATAAGTATGTGTCAATCAATAAAAGCTAGCTATGCTTTTGCTTATTATTCGACAAATCCGATTCCTGTTGCAATTATAATTAGTTGATTGGCTCACACAGGTGGGACCGTGACCTTGGTTCCTCATTTCAAGGTCACCGCCATCTTACTATTGGCAAAAAATTGGCATAATTTTTGGTTGCGTGTGAGAAATTTGCTCAATGATCTTACATATTTCTTGCCCAATCAAAATTCCAGGCAGGAATCTGGATTTCGAAGCTGGGCAGTTTATCAATTAACTTTCATCACTTCATAGATTACAATGCAAAAGTGTCGATATTTCAATCTTCTCTGACCACCGATCTGCTAGTAGCCGATATCTGATCGGCGCAGGATATTTCCGATAGCTAATAAGCTATCGACTTTGGGCTACTGTGTTTCGTGATGAAGTATTCAATCCGTCTTGGGGCATAGCTCCGAGTGTGAATTTCCGAAGTAGTTTCAGCGACCTGTCAAAAGCGCATGCGCGTGTGTGTAAACGAGGCACGTAGCCTTTCATTAGGTAGGGAGAACGAGAGGGGCAGGTGACGGACTGACACCTGCGTGGGCTTATTTGCATCCCCTTGACATTTCCGTGCACGCGTACACATCTGCGCACTCAAGGCCTCATGCTGAACGGGCCTGTAATCAAACTAAGCACTGCAGCATCCGCTGTACCGCTGTGGGTGGCTTATCTGTCACCCGCATGTAGCAACACCTACACACTGAAAGTTTTATTTTAGTAGAAGATGAACTTAGAGTGAGTAGACACTTGAAAATCCCATTGGTTCGGTGTTAGGTGCCACGATGGCTGTAGTTCAAGGTTCCACCGCTCGTGTCACACTTCTGCCATGAATATCGATCGTCAACTGTAATCGACAATAGATGGAACTCGGTCAACTCGTGAATAAACTTCACTCAAGCTCGTTCGATGAATAATTCACTACAATCCCTTTTGGCAACCTAAGAATCGTGGTTTTCTTACGTAAGGTTTATCGCGGAAGTTCAAATTCACAAGTTCTATCCGCTGTTCGAAATAACACCACTCTCGACAGTGTCAATTTGACTTAAATAGTTTTTAGCAGTGGTTAACTACTTTTCAGCTTGTGCAATGGTAGCCTCGACAGTCAACCACATTCCCAACTCCCCTATATCGTTTCCTAAACTGCGAGGCCTAGAGAACGTCTTCTGACGACCTGTTTACTTCGTGACTCACTACCTGAAAATAAAGTAAAATTCGTACCAAATGACACTGCTTTTTTGGATTTTGGCAAATTGCGAAAACCACATTTCCTTTGTATGCTGCTCACCTAATTCTGGATTTACTCTCTAAATGTCGTAGGAAGTGAGGACTGCACGAAGCATTGGTGTAGCATAAAGTCGGTCTATGCGACTAATTTCTTTTGAAAAAAGCTTGTCGCATTTTTATTGGAAGCATTTACTATCTTCGTTGCTTGTAAAGCTTGGTGATAAACAAACATTGGGTCCTTTTATTTTAACTGGGGAGCCGCAGATGATTTCGAAGCAATGCTTAATCTAACAGCCAATAATTGAAAAAAACAGTTGTCTAGTGCGAGATGCTAGAGGAATTTTGTGGAACTTTTTTTAAAAAATTTCCATTTGTTTTTGTTACCAACTAGGCTCTCACGACTGTCGCATTTCTCCCTACCCATGGCAACAGCGGTGGCGTTTTGGTAACGGCACCGTCTCCAAAATGCTCGTGGTTGGGCAATAACAAGCTCATAACGCCAGTAAGATATTGCATCCGGAAACAAAACCCTTGTATTTTACCACATCGAACTGCCTCTGGCTAGCGTGACGTCACGCTGAAGTGCAAAATATTGTCCCCGGTTGGTGTGACAATCATGGCACAGAGGCAGGATTGTCGCCACAGACTTTGGGGCGAATAAGTTATATGAAAGAAGTCGTGGTCTTAGCCACACAACTCCTGTGTAGAAATGCAGCGACAAATTGATTCAAATTCGGAAGAAAATGATCAAAACCTTTAATTTATTTAATCTTTGCATTGCTAAGCCTCTCTACACCATTTTTGAGATTAGCAGATCTCCTGTAGCCTTCCCAGTATTCTTCATGTTCGTTTGCTGTTCTGAAATCTTTTTTAACTCTTTTAACCACTACCAAGATTCAGGCGATCAGCATTTACGGCAATAAATTGTCGAAATTACCCTCCTCGTTTGCAACGTGTTGAGGTTTCAATTAACTTATCTCCAAGGGGAACGTGGCGAAACGGTGCGTGGCCTCAGGAGGCCTTTGGTTTAGTTCGGTGGCGGTAAGGACCTGTTAAAACTTAACACCTGGCTAGCAATCGTCCAGTAAATTGGTGGATGCTTACCCTAAGAGAATTTCGTGCGCTGCACAAACCAGCATCCCATTACGTTAAAAGAAATTCGCATCTGCCATGTGGAAAGGGGCAGTTTCTTAGCTGTTTATCCAATTAACCTTCCATTAAGTTATAGTTTACTTAAGTGCCAAGACACATACCAGTTGTATTTGAGGTCAGCGTAGGATCTGGTGAAGGTATTCTTTCTAAATGTTAATCTAACCCTCATTTATATTGTTACTCGCATGTGGCTTTGATGCTAAATTCAAACCCGACACGTGATTAACAAACTTTATTTGTCTTCTAAAGTTGTCAGTCGGCAACTTCCAATCAAGCTCGTTGCTGCGCGACCACAAAATCCCCCTTTTCTCCTCAAATTGAGGTAAAAAAAGCACATGAAGGACATTTGTGCAGTTCCCAGATTTGTTTCATCTTGATGTGCAGAGTAATGTTTATCGTAGTAGATAGGGCTTTCCCGTTCAAAAAAAGTAATCTACCAGTGTTTGTCCTCCTTAAAATTTTCAAAAAAATTCGTTCAGGCACTTTCTGTTGATCATTGAGTCGTAAAAAAGAGAAATTTTAGCGGAAAAAAGTAAGTGATTTGCATAAAATCACTAAACATCGACCTGTGAACGAATCGGGCGTTCAAGCAAATCAATCCAATTGTTTTCAATCAGGCTTGCTAACTGTGCTCACTCGTTGATCTCCACAAGTGACGTGTCATCGAGGAGTGGGGAAAAATTACACCAAGTTGTACACCGTGAGTTGCTTGAGCAAATCTTGCTTCCTTTAAGAGTCAAATAATCAGAAATTAAGAGCTTCAAACCAATCACAGCGACCTCTGTGTGACTTACGGCTCGTATCACTGAACGAATTCAGCAGGACGAAAATACATTAATCAGGCAGCGAACGATCTGGCAGCCGGTTTGTGTTACGGTTTGTGGTTGTGCTATGATTTACCCAGTGAAAAAGCGAAAATATCAAGTTGCTGTCAAATATCCTCTCTAGTCTCCGTAGCTAATTTCACTTGAATCGCTAAAAAATTCGACTTGCTACTATTACTGAAATGCACTCGCCGTTACTTGCCAACGGTCCACGAATGTTTCCGAACTTATTCGACACCATTTCACATCTTCTGCGAACTTCTAGTTCAGTGATTACTTGCATTTTTAGGTCTTGATAAGAACACAGGTCTAAGGTGCAACTGTACGTGCGAATGCTTGAGACAAAGATTAAAAGGGATTGAGGGGAGGCACAAGCGTTGGGACTCTCTAAGCCTGTCGTATGACATCAAAATATCAAGTTTAACCAGTTTTGTTGGAGCTGCCTATGGAGTAAAATTATGCCTTGAGGCTTAGGCTTTTCTAGGCGGTATCTTGCATGCTTTTAGGCGGTTGAATCACGGTACCACTCCCATCGATCAATCATTTGGATGTTGGCCCATTAATCAGCTCGAATAATGTTCTTGCTGCTTTCGGGAGATAGCACCATTACCTGAGAAACGCTCGCTTTGGATTGACTTGATGTTGGTTTGTGTTCCTCAACATAACATATTCTTTTTAAGCGTTGGAAGTTGAACCACTGCAGGGTGACCATCAGGCCGAGATCATCAAATGTGAACTCACTGCAAGCTAATAAATGCTATCAGAAGTACATTTATCGGAAAAAAGTGCATCCGGTCAATCGGCATAGATTTGCCGAGGTTTGAAGGCGGCATTTTCAGTCTCAGCTAAGGTTGGTCACTTTATGACATGTTTACCCAATCTAGCAAAATTTACACAAACTTGCGACCACAAGTAGTCTACGCCTTTAAAAAACAACTCTAAGTTAGTCTTTTGTTTGGACTTTATCTTACAAAATGTTGTATTCTACGTTTAAAACTTGGTCGGCAGCCGTAGTTTCTCGAATTTGGCACCTAATACAGACTTGTTCCATGTATTTATTCGAAACCCGGAAATAAAACAAGCAGTTACAGCTTGTCTCTTTAACTACACGAAATACAGGTAATAGAGGAATCAGCCAAAATTTAATCATGGTCCAGTGCTTTAAAAATAGATCTCTTTTAAAATATCAATGAAATTCAGTTGCAAATTGAAAAACGTGCGAGCACTCAAACCAAGCACGAGCGAATACACCTTCTATAGATTATCTTGAATGCACTCCATGTAACGATGTTGGTTCAGAGATCAATGCCAAGCGTTCCTACATAAACTGACGCCTCGTCACACCACAATTATCACGCCTTAACTATGACAACAAGTCTGTTGATGTCGCGTTATCTGGTATCTTATCCTTACTTCCAGGGTCTTCAACAGATTCGTTCAACTGTGCGAAATGATGACTGTGCCCACGATGTTTTGTCCTCTTTGATCTGGAATGCAGGTGTGAACTCATTGGATAACTTACTCAGAATGAAATAAGCCGGTGACTTACAATCATACCCTGAAATGTGCCTCTGACAGTGCTTATTTTAGGCTTACTATTTTCTTCCTACTAGCAGTCTTTTTACTCTTGTGAGCTCTTTTGCTGCCCTTTATCTCAACAAGTGGATGTAGACCATTTTGGAAGGGATTACTTTGGAGCAGTTGGAAAACAAAGCAATAACTTTGCAGAACACAAATTCGTGAACGTGGTAAAGACAGCAGTGTAGGTAAAGACAACATCCCTAATTAGAGTCAAAAATCCTGTGTTTATGGCTCGAAAACAAGGTAATTACACGGAAGTGTTCGCAAGCCAGGCCTGTTTTTTTGCAGCTGAAATTTTTAGGGAGAAAAACCGTTCAATTTTTCATTCCACTCCGCCTGGAACTTGTAAGTCTCCCTCTTCAGACAGGAAGTCCTCTTAAGAGCTATTCAGCAACGAGCTAGTGAAGCCTGCTCATTCACGCACAATTAACGTCCCTGCTTCAGGATAAGAGAAAACTGGGCAAGAGCAGGACACGGGATTGGAAAAAAAGAGGCAAAAGCCGACTCAAAGCACACAAAACGCAGCAGCAGAAGCAGCAGCAGCAATTTTCGAGCAGCAGTGGGACCGGGAGAAAAAGCCTTTGGCCTCTTCCATCAAGGCAGTTCCTGTAAGCCCTCTGCTTGCGTCAAATCGACGCTAGCGGGGGTGGAGGCGGTGATGAAGGCAGTGGCGGCAGCCAGGCGGACATCAGAGGATCGGCAAAATCGGGGTGGCCGCCGTTATGCCTACTTCTATCTTCCCGAGTGGATTCAACCAGCCTATGGAATTTCGGCTCCACCATAAAACGGGACCTGCCCCCCGGCTAAGACGATGCTTCGGGGTGGGTTGATTTTAAAGGCTGGTAGGGCTAGGGGACGCTAGTTCGTGTTTGTTCTGCTCTACTGCGACCTGTGAGGTCTGCTCTGCGAGGGAGCAGAGTGAGGAGGGACGGGTTTTTTAATTTATATTAAATTCTTTCTGGTCGAAATAAAGGCTCGGCTTGTCTCCTTGTACGAATTACGAGCAAAAAGTGGTAGATATTGGCCTAAAGTGTACAAGTAGTGATCAATCTAAATTTGAAATGAGTTGAGTTGAAGTTTTTGAGTTGGCTGGATATAACCATGACGTATTGACAAGAATGTGAAGTCGCATTTCTGAAACAGTTGGTTAAGGTGAATTAGCCAATCAACTAGCTTGATTCTGAATGAACTTTCTGATTCACCAAGAATTCAAATATCCATGAGAAGAACTTTCTGTTGTGGAGAAAAGATACAAACAAATTTGGTTTCGCAAGCTTGATGCTGGTCGAGCTTAATTACCCACTACGTGGTCATACAATACAGGAAGGGCAGAGCCTGATAGGTCAGATTCGTCCTTGTAATCAGTGACGTGGGCCTTTTTGACACGAATGTCTAATGTCGATACCAACTCCGTCAAGGTAGACCAATTGAACATTTAAGAGTTTGGTTACAATCTGTCATGTCCCAGAGCCACACAGCTGGTCTCTACTTAGAAATCTTGCATTCGAGGCTGAATCCATTGCAGCTGTTTCTACCACCGCCACAAGTTCAACAAAACAGAGGCTGCAGTCCATTAAATCTGGACCAACTTTTGGATATGGGGAGCCTGTTTCGATTGTTGTTTTGTATTGCATTGATATGGAAGCCCTCTCGGTTCCCTGGTTTCCAAGCCACTCTAGAACTAAAGGCTGCACTGTTAATTAAAAATGACAGGCAGGGAGTTAGGATGAGTGATGCAGGTGGCCTTTGGCTGAACAGAAAGGAAAAACTTGGGGCATAACCAAACGTCAGGAGTTAGGAAGCGGTTGCAGTCTGAAATGGGAATGAATGCGAAAGTGTAGGATGTTGATGCTGGGAAAACCAGCACCAATCATTAATGCCAAGGTCGTGGTTCTTACAATGCTTGCCGATCTACTTAGTGCCTGTCTTGTCAACTTCTCAATCTTATTCACTCCCAGATGGTAGGTGCATGACTTACTTACTTTTCACCGATTTTTTATTTCAGCTTATTGTTGTATTTAGAAGAGGAACACTTCCACAGCGTTTTGTGGTTTTGGTAGGATCGGATGGAAGGTTACCGAACACCGAACGACAAGTCTTCGAGAGTTACATCGCCTCTCAAAATACCAGTGTTTACGATGGCTACTGATAAACCGCAAATTCGATAGAACTGCACTTTATACGAACTCAAACAAGGTGAAAATGCTTCTAAGGCATGGGAGAATCAACTTGAAGTGTTCATGGTGGCGACATTGTGTCTTTTGAAACGTGTGACAATTGGCACAAAGCTTTTTTGGAGTGATGACCAGCCGTGCTTCGGACGGACTTTGAATTTTGAAGATTCAGAATTGCAAGTTCTAATATAAAGACGTAATGCAAATGCAACAGGAGCTTGCAGTTAAGTTAGGAGTCACCCAAACAGCGTCTGCACCAAATAGGGACAATTCAAGAACCTGGAATTTGATTCCTCTAACACGACCTAGGTCACCGCACGCACACATGCCTTTCACTGCTTGCCGACCAGAAACAAGCAGTGGATGAATTTGTTGTGGAAACGTCTGACAGGTTATGGAAAGCATATTTTGACGAGAAGGTGACACATAAAAGGTCGTGGGAAGATACCAGGCAAGCCAGTACATCGATGCCAAAACAGGGCATCCTGTGTATCTGGTGGAACACGAATGGTGTACTTTATTACGAACTTCTGGAAGCTGGTCGCCAGATGGTGAATGCCACAACTGACAATGGAACTAACTGAGCAAAGCGACCAGAGGTCATAAATGGCCATTTTCTGAGTAAGGAAGCAGGCAAGTCATGCTTCCGCATGACAACGCTCGACCTCACGTTGCTTGCGCGACTCAGAAGACCCTCTTGAATTTGTGATGTGAAGTTGTTCCACAGATGACATATTCACCAGACTTGGCCCCATCCGACTACCATTCGTTCCGGTCAATGCAGCAGCACGCCTTAGTGGATACACAGTTCGAAACGCTGGAGGATGTTTGTAAATTAGTCGATGACTTTACCACCTCCTACGACATCCAACAGACATGTTTCGCATTAAAAAGTGAGTAAAATGGCCTAATTTTTTAACTGGTTAAAAAAGTGCTTCTCTGTTATACATTTTAATGTTTTGACACTTGATGAATAGTCGCAAGGCTAATATCCTGCGATGGAAGCAAAATGACTTGTGAATCAAATCAAACATTTGCCTAGATCACTTGTCAGTACAGTCTGCTTCCAACGATGGTGTGTAAACACTTCTGGCGAATGTGGATTGCATTATTTCCTGGACTCTCTTGAGTGGCTTTGAGGTAGTTGCCTCTACGCCTTTGTCCGGGAATTGGATCGATTTCGGTAACAGGGGGATCACACGTTTACCATGGCCAGCCCCGAATGTGGCAGATGTGTGTGTGGGGAACTGGGTAGCACACACCTGCAAGGAACCGGGTGCAAAGCGATAGGAGGGTGTTTTACCATCAGGCCCTGTGCATTTCTCCCCTACTGATAATTGAAATCATTTGATTCTCCCACGACTGAAGCCTACCTCAGGCATTATTTTTCATGCGATTATGCATGCATCAGGAATTGTAGAATAGCCACGGCAGCTATAAGTTAATAGCGCAAGTACGGCTTGGGTGATGCTTAGAGCCTCTAGGGTCCTCAGATTTTTTGACAGGTGTGACCATCAGTCCAGCATTGATCTCCGTCATGGAGTTGAAGTAGCAGTCCAAACTATCGACTGATTTTTAAAATTACTTTTTTTAATACGTTAGACCAATTATAGTCTGCCAGGCATCACATGCAGGTTTGGTATATGTTATTCGATGCAAACCATCATTTAGGTATCATAAACACTTGAAAATCGCTCTTTACCGAACTCTCCTATTCCCCGAGTAACTGATATGTTGAAATTTAACGCATTTTAAGCATGAGTTCCCATCTTGGAGACGGTCCGATGGGAACGCGTGTTGGCAGAACATCTCCGAGGTGAGGTTTTGCCAAGACCACCCCTTCTCCGTTACCAGCACCGAAGGGATCAAAGCCTTCTCTCTCTTTGGATGCGCTCACGAGACGAACCGACACGGACACCTGTGCACGCTTTGTCCACTCAGGCGAAAGCCAGGGCGCGCACCAACCCTTGCATTAGCTCCCTTCATCTTCCTCCTTCGCTTCCTTTATGCACCACTAATTGCTACGCCCTGGCGCCCCACCAAATTACTCAAAGCCTCCGTCGCCTTTTCACCCCTTGATGAACTTAATATGCAAAGCATTGCGGCTGTTTTGCGCAGGTTACCACTCTCTGTAACTGAACGAAAAACCTTTCATGCATTGGTGGTTTTTTCGGCCATTCTCTATCAAAGAAAACCCTCAATCCCTAAATAAACTTCCAACAAATAGGACTTTAAGTGTCCATAAATGGACTGTAGATAACGTCAGCACAAGCAATAGTGATTATGCACGGTGAAATCGAAAAACAGCAAAGTCAATCCGATAAAGGGAATTTATTTTACAGTTATCATTAAAAAAGGAATATTTCCACAATAAGAAGAAACAGAAAATGCATTCAACAAGTAAAGTTCTCACAGCTATTGGGCATTTTGAATAGCGATCCAACAAAACCAGTGCAGTAAAACAAAGGGTTATGTGGAACTAAAACGACAAATTTTACATGGGCACTCCACTAGGTTCGATTATGGGATGCATTAGTGAGGTCCCACCAACAGTATTTTACATTTTGTATCGAAAAATAAATGAACGTGGTACACAACGCTCCTTCAAGGCAGTGGGGAAATGCTGAGATGGAGCTTTTGATGTGTTTTCATGTCTTGTCAAAGTGGTTGTCTTCATCTATACCTGATGGTGCAAATTGAACTATCCGAGCAATCAATCAATTAATCAATCAATCGCAACTGGAGCACTAATCTTCTTTCAATGGCAATGTGAGGAGGGGGTCTTGTAGGGCGACAACTCCACAGATTCGACAGTCTCCATCAGGGTTCAAAATCACTGACTGGTGATCTGAATGGCGAGACTTCTGATTCACATAAATCCACGCTCATTTCCCAATTTCAGGTCAGGTCACTAGTTACAAGAAACAGGACAATTCAGTGGCATGCTTTATTTGATCATAGAGTGTACTAGATCACTATGTAACGGTGGCCAGCAACGTAGTTTTGTACAAAGATCGACGGTACGCCTTACTCACTCACAAATATGCCCTTTGAAGTCGAGTTCAACTCAAACTATCGGCTGCATGCAGAGGACGGAAGCATGGCAGCGAAAAAAGCCTTCGAGGCACGCGTCGCATCCCAGCATGTTTAGTTGAGTAGGGAAAGCAGGAGTAGAATGCCTGGAAGAATAAAGGAGTGGGTAGTCCCAAGCATCATTTAATGTCACACACACACACACTCGTGCGTGGGGTTGAGAGGACGCGACTTTTCTCGTCCGATTACTGAAAGAGGGGCAAACGACCAGCCTCTAACGCCCCCACATCCTTCGACTTGTTTTTTTTTTCACTGATTCCCGAGCTTGGCTCTGATGAATGAAGGAAAGATAAAAGAATTTAATGGGTAACGCATTGCACCTTAACCGTGATTGTGTGTGCGGCTTCTCGAAATTGTTCATAATGGCAAAGACGAATTTAAGAATTTCTTATCTCACAGACAACACATTCACTCTTTTTATAGATTAAAACCAGTAAAGCTACATAGTTAAGTTCCTTTTAAATTTTTATTATGTTGGTGATCGTGAGCTGTGTTCACGGTAGTTTGCAACCTACAGATTCTTGCGTTTGGCTACGTTGCGTGAGCCTGGTGAATTGTGAATCCGTATGCAATGAGCACCCATGTCCATTGGCTCCAGGCTCAGCAGTCATCATCTCGCAACCTGAGTACGAAAAACTTGGCAGAGTTGGGGCTGGGTTATGCTTAAACTGGGTGCTGATTGACATGCCCCTTGTATGGTTAGTGAAAAGTTCAGATCCTAGGACAAAATGACATAATCGCCGAGAACTTGCACCTTATTGGCCGGTTACGCTGTCCGGCGAATTGAGGTACCCTATGACCTCACTTGTGGAAGGCGTTTAAATACGACAGTGTAACTATTCTGACAATAATCGTTGAGATTATGATGCAAGCTTACCTACATAAGAGGGATTTCTGAATACAAGACAGTGTAAATGCGATTGATCCGGGGTATTCGAACCAATTTTGAAGATTAGTGGTTGTTTGTTACTTCCAGAATTCTTCATTTAGGGCTTGATTTATCACTGGTCCAAACCTGCATTTTCCGGACTGTTGAGCAGGTGTACGACCTTAATCATCTGCTGGCTCTCAGAACTCTTTCAGAGTTCCTGATAAGATTGCGATGTCTGCTTGCAAAACTGAGTACACGCTCCAATTAGTTCACCCACGTCAAATCGAGTACTAACTAAGCCCATATAAAAGAATTTGGTGTAAATTAGATATGTTTGCAATTGGTTATCTAGTTCGTATAAATGAACACTTGGTCCGTAAATTTTGTGTTTTTAAACTACTCCTAACTATTGCCTTTCGTCTGCCCACATTTTCAGTAACTGAAAGGGAGTACATCTCACTCATCAATTTGAATCTTGGTAGACGTCGGTTTTGTCCAAATTAAAATCGATTAATTCTGGGAAATTTCACAGCACGAAGGAGGGGGCTGAGTTTGCTGAATTATCAAGACCCCGATATTTCGTCTGATTTGCAAGAAGAGTTTTTCCAGACAATATTCATGTTTCACATTTGTCTTGTCGCCTGTAGCGTTGTCTTTGATTACGCATTCCATCCCGCCCCCCACCTTATTTGATGAGCCTCGACCTTGCTTGCAGTCTCCAAGTCACCCATGTGTTCAAAAGTCCAACTTCAGCCTGGCAAGATGGCCGACCACTAACGGCAATTATTTTCGTGCTTTATTAAAACTAATCCCCAGCAGAGAGCCTGCATAAGTTGTCGTTAATTAAACAAAACAAACACTTTCTTTTGGAAAGGTGGTTTTCGGGTGAACGAGTTAGCTACAAGATAATTGCAAATGTCTGCAAATATCACCAGCCAATCTTCAAATGATCGTCCTCTAAGGCCACAGGGTCAGAGGTGGATGGAGTCGCTATGACAGACGTCAACGGAAATTGACCAATTATCATCGAATAAAGTGGTGCAACTTTGTTAAACACATAAGACGGGATGTACCAGTGTTTAAAGTTTCAATGACGGTAGCAGCGTTGCCGCCACTTCTTACGGTCAGTTCGGTATAACTAACTTCGTCTACACCAAGCTACTGCGGAATAAATGGGAAAATTAGCCTACACAGGGTGGTTGGAATTGTAGGAAACCAAGTTCCCCGTGGAAATGGCTATTGAATTTGAATAACGGTGGAGTCCCACGGATGTACCCTTTTACCCTAATCCAATGAAACTGGAAAGCAGCTTGTGTGCATAAAAGGTAACACCGAGAAATGAAACGCCAGTGTTCTCGAGCCCGTGGCCCAAATGGGGAAAACATCTCATCCCACCCCCGTTTGACTGGGGAGACACCACTTTCCCCCGCGTGACACGCCTTTTATCGGGGGGCGGGGTGAAGTGGAACGCGTTATCTACGTGGGTGGTGGGCGCGAGTGCGTGCGTTCGCGTGCCACCACGCGATGTACTGACAGGCAGAGGCTGGTGGACAGACAGGTCGCTCCTGTTGTGTGTGTCTTGCTTGCCGGCGGCAAGCCTCCAGCCTTGTGTGTGTTCTTCCGCTTACTGGAGGGAAAGAGGAGCAGGAGGAGGCAGCTGGAGGCGAGAACGCGGGCACGACAACACGCACACTCGCGCGCTATTCATTCAGCTTCCCAACCTCTACACTGTGGTCGCAGCGTGTGCGCTAGATTCCCTGCAAACTGTGCGTGTGTTTGTTAGTTTGTGCGTGTACGTAAGTGGTCTAGCACTACCTGTTGCCACGTCAAAGAACAGGCGGTGTTTGGGTGATTGTGAGGTTCTGTATCAGTGACCACGGAAGACCTTCACCTTGAAAGGATTAGACGCGCGCCTGTCAAATTGCGTGGGTGTGTTTGCTTACGTGACATCAGGAATCATCTCGACTGCTGAATACACGGGGTAAGTACTCTGCTCCTTTCAGTGTCTTTTCGTGTTTTGCGATAGGATTGCTAGAGGTCTAATTTACCCCAGCCGTCTCGCATGGCCCAGTCGTGTATAGGAAAAAGTTGCTTTTTGAGAGCATTGCCAACCACCAAACATCCTTGTTGACCCATTCGGGACATTTCCAGATAAATGACCGGTTGCATAAATTTGAGTTTCCCCTACACACTCCAGGTAACATTTACCGAAAAGACCCCTGAGTTTTACAGACATGTCAAGTCTGATGTGTGATCTTCACAACTAGTCCATTTGCACGTTTCGGAATTCAAGAGAAATGTCTAATCATGGGGAATACTTTGCTACTTAAAACTTGTATAACGAGATACTCAACAACTCACGAATATCTGACGTTTGTTAAATTATTGAACCAATTCGATAGTGGTATTTTCCTCAATTCCGTATTCCCACGCACACAGTTACGCAGAATTCACAAGTTCATCAATCCAACGCAAACCACACGAAATTTTACCCAGAATACCGTCCCATTTGAAGATTATTGAAAGTTCCATTCAGAATTAGTGGATTGTCGATGGTAAAACACAGGATAAAGCCTGTATCTGTCTGTTGAGATCTGATCTAGAACGCTTGTAGCATGCACAAAACAGTCTAGTGTTTTGGCTTCTTTATAAGCAAGATTTTTTTTCTCTCTAAGCGAAGCACTTTTGGCTGCTTTCGCTTCAGTGCTTGTGTAGGTCGAAGTAGCTTTCTTGTTAATTTTCAACAGCACGATTTAATTGGATTGCAGGTATCACCTCATTGAGGGTTTCCAGTTCTTTTCAATCTCAAGGACTTCGTAGAAATGGTTGTTTTCGATTTAGTCCACTCTTTTTCCTCGATTACCTAACTTGAAAGGGTGCCTTGCTTATTCTCCAATCAGGATACATATTTTTATGCGGGAATGAAGACCTTATGTTCATTAACTACTAGCATTATCTTAACAAATTCCTCTGGATGCCTCCATGTCGCGTGAGATCGCATCACCACATCTTTATCGTTTTTGTGTGGTCCCATTTCATTTCATTTGATGCAATATCTATCTACCAGAGGTACCAAGCACACTCCAGAAAAATCTAGGAAGATTGTTGGTACTTTGGTCAAGTTTTTTTTGGTATTTTTGCCGAATGTCTGTTTTTCCCTGCCTGAGCTCCGACTGACGTCGAACCAATAATACTCTCGTCGGTGGTTTGTTTGGAAATGACGCGGCCAGGTCGATTCGAAACCTCGGAAAATCATGACTTAAAACCTTAGTGTGGGAGCACATGTCACCTATTATGGTTACCGTACTTGTTTGACAGCACTATCTTCGAACTTTTCAGCCCTAGCAGCTTGATGGCATTGTTAAAACATTTTGAAGACTAAGTATTACAGAAGCATTCACATTACCACCAAAAACCACAGAATTTTTCAAGACATGCCTCCTTGGAACTAAATTTAGTCGAATTACAACGTTCGTCTAAGAGCAGGGTAAATATGCGAAAATTCTGTGATGACTAAATCGAATTTCCAGCCATTGACGAAAAAGGAGTCAAACACACGATTGATATGTCCTTCTCATCTGGGACCAATTTCCGCAGGACAAACGAGTTTCAGAGGCTCTGTTTAGTATTTCAAATATCCTAAACTAGTTTCCATAGAACAACACCAAGCACAACCACCTTGTCGTTGGTGGCTGACACTCTCATCGATGTTTCGGTCTTACTGGGCCCTCAACCTAGCGTCCTTTATATGACAAGCCTAATTTTCAATCCACTTCTCCCCATCTACTCAAGAAAGTGCAAGATTCAGCATTTTGCAATGTCGTTGTTCTTGGGCAATTTTAAACCACATTGCTTCTTACCTAACATGTTTGTACTTCTACAGCGATTGTTTAAACCTGAGTGACAATGTTTAAAGTACGTCTAGTGAATTTCAAACATGAATTACCTTTAGAATTGTGGTTAGTTTAAGTCTTCACTGCAACTTTCTCTAGTGCAATTATGAGTTAGTAAATTGTCTTATCAACCTTCATGTATCATGCATCTGAAGTCTATCTTACTGAAAACCTACCATACTAGTGCAGAGTAAATAACGGTACCTTAGCATTGCACACGAATGGAAGGTGTTCATTGAGATAGCAAAGCGGTCCCAGGCGTTCTCATGGTGAAGAACGCGCTTCCTCCACATTTCTTGAAAGAGGACAAATCGTAATAACTCCTGCATTCTCGATTATACCATTTTAAGCCGAATTTTTATTCAATTGTTTGTTATCTGGGTTCGAACCCACACCCCTTTAAATCACAGCCCGGTTATTTGGCAATCCATTGTCGCGTAATGTCCACTTCAACTGCATCTTAAAAGAGTTTTCACAAGGATCTTGTCTGATTTATTGAATTAGGGAATTGTTTGTTTACTCGGGTGACGAAAATCAGCCTACGAATCTAATACCCACGACCTGCCCGCCTCTACACCGATATGAATCAGAGGGTGTGTGTGTGTGTAAATAAGCAGGGGGCTGGTAAAGGGGGCGCCATTTGCACTCCATTTCCCTCCCACGAACCCTCGATTTTGTGTCCATGCTAATTCCCCTGAAACCAGATGGCACAGCTGTGAAATATTATCCAGACCACTGGGGCACCCCTTGAAAATTATCCACACTCGTTTAAAGGCAATTCAGAGGGAGTGTAACTGCTCTACGGAACTTTTCGTGAATCACATCATCGAGGGTGTCCCGTTCTAAGGTGGTTCATTAATTTAGTCAACAATAATGACTCTGCGATCTACATCTCAGAGCGTAGTTGGCTGTAAACTGCAGAAATACCCCTAAATTTATTCCAACATTTTTAACGGAAACATTTCTGAATTTTGTTTCACTGTTAAAGGAAATTAAATGTCTTTGTATGTACATTTTTGCATTTGCAATTCACACATTTGACCGTTAGCGTCTTGTACTCAGAACTTCGTAACCTACGTGAAGATTTTACTGACAAAAAAACTATTCATGTAGTCCATGGAGATCCACTTGTGGAGACACGATAATTTAATCACCACTGCAAGTCCGTTTTTTCGCATGTACTTTTGAGTAAGGAAAATGTGTGTCAGGAAGAGCATTCCCCGTCCAAGGAGGGCCATCGTATGAACTTAGGTTCAGAACAGAAAAACATCTGCGAAAGCGAAGTTATAGATTAGTGAAATTCGGGGAAGTTGCCTCAACTTTGATGCCGCAAAACACTTTGACACCAGGAAGACTGTGGTGTTAAGAACGGCTGCACTTTTTGCCTTTAAATCACACCCTACACGCGTTGGGCGACCTCTACCTGGGAGAATAGAATGCAATTGCCGAAGTTTGGTTGAACGAAAAGGGGTTTTAGAGCTTGGGACGCTCCGACGAAGACTTGAAATGGCTTTTAGCTATTGCGAGACAACTTTTTTGGCAAGGCAAGACGTATTTTTACAAGAAAAAAGTGCATTAAAGCGGTAAACTCAAACCACGCCACAAAGTTATTCCTTGGTAGCTCGGGAAGCTTACATTGAAACTACTCTACTACTATCCATAGAATCTGGGATGTACCGTATATCTTCGCTAACATTTAGTCGTTGTAACTGTTGTTCTAATCAAGTTTTTTGGTCAAAGATATTGAGTGATTCTAACTGTATGTAACCATACTCACTAGTAATTGCAAGTTAACGTGAATGGGTGGATCCATGCGTTCTAATCTGTGGTCACGGAATCTCTCTTAATGGTGACGGCCACTTTACCCAAAAAGATGTTTGATTTCCATTCTTTCTACTCCCTTCCGTAATTTTTGGCTCAAAAATTTCAACTCACAGAATTCTGCTTTATTTAAGCATAAAAGTAGTACTGATAACACGTCATTTCTTTAGTGCGTAAATCGTGGAGGGTTTTGTGCGTGCCTACTTTGAGGAGTGTTACTGGTGGAATCCATGTTTGGAACGTCGAGGGTTTCCTAGAAAAAGCGAAGACTAGAGCTTGTGCAGAGGGCTTTAATGTCTGGTGTCAAAATCGGAAGTCGAATGGATGCCCAGATGTTCCCACTTATATATGTATATGTGCCTAGGCGATCCGAGATCGATGTGTTAAGCAAGTAACACTGAGGAATGAGTTGTTAGTGTGAGCAAAGACATGGCGTGAAAATCAAGTGAACAGAGCTGAGGGAATGGCCGTCTAAAAGACACCCCAACAGGAGTTATTATCGAGTTTCACTTTCCAGAATGCGAGAATTACTTGATTTCGTTTAGAGGGAACTCATTTCTAAGAAGACATTATGACTTATTTCTCGTAGTCAACCGAAAAACGGTTAGACGGTGGCTAGGGACACTAACTCTTCCCAATGTGTGCCGAAGTGCTGGAAGGCGGGTAGTGAGTAAGTGAGGTCTGTAGGCCTGTAGAAGCGAAGGACTCGTTTTCAGACACCAGGTACTCGAAGGTTGACTACAGCTGCCTCACATGCGCTTGGCCCTCCTTCACCTCGTTCCGCCTAGCCCCACGCGACCACTTGTGACCACCACCGAACCCCTTGGAGTCACGCCTGCACGCAGGCACGCACGCGCGTTCGAGTGGCGTGGTGGCTGATTGCCACTCAGTGAGTTCGTCGTGTCCATGAGGGGTGAATGCGTGTGTGAACGCGATTCCGCGTAATAAGGTCAAGACCACTCTACATCCCCGGGCGGTAATAAAGTGGACAGAGGTGATAAATAAAAACGAACCACTTGCGACTTTTACGAGTGCGCCGGGATTGCACCGTTGAGGAAGGTCACCGGCTTTTACGCAGTTTATGGCGATGCCAGGCGAGATCGCTCACAGCCACCCAATTTCTCCTTCGCGCGATAAGCCCTCTCAGAATGGCTGATTCCCTTTCAGTCAACCGTCGCAGCGGAAGCGGTAGCTTAGGCTAAACAGTGTTCCACACTTGACTTGAACCAGGACACTTGATCTTCGCGTCAACATCCCTATCCAAAATGTGGATCTCCTAATTCACACTTTACCGAATTCCTATGAACACATTTTTTGCATCTACAGGCATGAGAAGCGGGAAATGCCCAAATCACTCAAGCAACAGCGTCCCGTGTTGTCACTTTGCGATGTTTAGAATTAGTGAACCGAGTTTGACGTATGAGTCACTCGATGCGAGAGGAGTTATTTGAAACTAACTTTCAAAAACAAGGTGCATGAACAGCATTGTCGGTTTTAATCCTTCACTAAGCGGGATAATGTGGTTATCAATTCTAAGATCAATCGATGATTGGCGAAAACACGTAAATGATTCTAATGCATTTAAACAAATTGGAGACTAAATATGAGTGATGAATTAGACTAGAAGGAATGTGGGATTTCATCACCAAAGCAGGAAAACATGTTTGGGAAAAGGACTGCTAGTCTTGGAAGGGGTTCTTGAGTCAAGTCCAAAGGCAAACCTCCAAATTTCAAGTCTATCGACCAGCAAACATGGGAAGAACAAGTTTGGTTTCTTTATCCGCGATGTTCCATCCCACTTAACTAAAGGGGATTCACTAAGAGGTGTATTTAGGAGTTGTCGTTGCATTAGACGGACAAAAGTACCTAAATATATTGGTTTTTACTTTTTAAAACGACCTTCAAGATTTCAAGCGGTTTCCTGAGTGAAGTTACATCTGAATGTTCGAATATTTGCCCTCCACATAGATAGTGTTTAATTATCATCTAAGGCGAAGTAACCAATTCGCTAGAAAATTCCACTGTTTAAAAAAGCAGACAGGCAAAAATATGCAAAAAAGTACGAAACGGCTGGAGTTAGTTCACCAATTAGAATGCATGGTGTTACCGTGCCTTGTTAACAGTAAAATCCAGGCGTAAACAATCATTGAATTACGTGATTAATGCATCCATAAAATATAGGGCTTGTTTTCCTTTACAAGCGACATAACCTCATCAGACTTGACCTTCCCATCACGAGTCGTCCTACGATGTGTATTCTCTATTTAAATTTGCTTGAATGAAGCTGCAAACTTAAAATGATGCTGTGGTTGCAGCTGATTGGATTGAATTAAATGGATAATTTCATTGTTTATTTTGGTATTCTTGCACTGCAAAAGTAGCTTTATAGCGAAATTGAGTTAACTTTAACTCGAAAGCTCGAAAGAACGTGGTTTTTTCATTGTCTACATTGGAAAATTAGGATCTACTAAACCGCATCTTGTGTTTTCGCGCACCGACCTCACAAGAGAGCAGAAGCTAATGGGCTAATCATAAAACCAATCCTTGATCTCGAAATGCTATTACTGATAATGAAACGGGGCATTGTTTATGTTGGAAGGAAGGATGTTTTTGCTAGAGCGCCATGGCTTAGCTTTCAACCACCAGTCCGTAGCCACAGACTCGAGCACCGTTAATGCGTTTAGGCGGGCGTTTAACAACCTGCACGCCCCGCTGTCACGATTTCTCGCCACATCCACCAAAACCGCCCCTGTTTTGGTCGAGGAAATTATCTTCTACAGCGCCTGAGGCACACACACACTCTCTCTCTGGGCGACCACACACACACACACACACGACCACCTCCCCCTACTCCGTGTTCCCCTCGGTCTCGTTACCTCCCCCTCCCCGCTCTCCAGCCGCATTCTTCTCATCTACCGGCGACAGCGACTGTCGATCAATAGCTCGCGCGACCTTCCTCCTCGTCTTTTTTCTCTCCCACTCCATCTTCTGACTGTGCTCGTGTGTGTGTGTGTATGTGTGTGTGAACTGGGAGTGTGTACGCCTCAACCGTACACACACACACACACACACTCACTAATGAGGCGCAGAAGGAACTCTGTGAGGCAGGGTGGCGCACGGAGCAAGCTGACGTGAGGATTTAGTGTGTTGCCTGGTTTTGTCGCGTTTGCCTGCGTGACGGCTCGGGTAGGCTGAACGTGGGAAAGACACGAATCTTACTCGTTGATTAATTATCGTCAAGGGGCTTTCCCCCTGCGGAAACCTAGGGGATGCCTAATTTTACCATCGGTTTGTTTTACTGTGCTCACGCTTTCGCGATTTCCCCGGTCTTGCGACTTGTTTATAAAGAAAAAGAACTAAAGCTAATGACAAGAATTTCGCTTTTTCGCTCAACACCATCATTTGTGTCATCGATGCCGCCTACAATTTACTATATTGTGAGCAAAATTTTCATGTAGTGGAAATTTGGGCTACAATTTTTTGTTATTGTCTGTGCTAATTGTGGCTGTCTGATGAAAGAAACCGTCTTTCCTAGTTGGAGTTTGTAATCTGGACTCAATCCGGTCTTTGAATTACCGAAATAACTCACTAAATACACACCACTGGAAACCCCAAAAATGTTCTACAAGTTGCCTGAAATCCTGAAGTCGAATCTAGTTCGGTGAGGCTTGTGTCCTTACTATGACGGGCTTCTGGTTTATACCCTCAATTTTCTGTGCATTTTTCTCACACAAACAATGGGCTCTTGATATTGCTTATCGACAAACAAAATCTGAGACAGGATTTCGACATGTATCGTGGTTAATGCAAGTAGCTAAGAGCCTTTGTCTTCGAATTTCAAGTATTCCTAGTGCTGGTAGCCGTACACTTCTCCCATTAGTTGCTAATGATCATTTTTTCTGTGCAAGCGTTGCATCCCATCTGCCCGAAAAGCCATTGTGTCTTTCGGGAACATTGGGATAGCAAATGATTGCTAACAAAAGGACACCTACGTAGAAACTTCTGAAGGTCATTGTGCGCCCTCGAAGTGGACGGGTGCGCATTGTTCGTGGCTGAGTCAGCAGTTTTCAAGGGACACTAGATGACTTGAATTTCTTGAAGATTCTGGTCGACAGAATCAAGCAGGACGCACATTTGTAGATGCGTCGACATATCTACTTCGCAATATTATCGTCAGCTGACACACATAGAACCTGATAACTAAGAGGGTCGTGATTAGACTAGACGATTAGACAGACGCATTTGATGAAAGCCTGGGAATAAACCTGCAGCTACAATGTGTCTTGGCAAAGTGCCCTTGTTATGAGGTAGAAGATGATAGCTTTACCATGTACGAATCGATCGGCTGCATGCGAAGATCACACAGAGTCGTGATCGTCAACGCGGTCAAGTGGACGTGGAAGATTCATGGAACCTGATGCAGTAGCAATTCGCCTTTAAAGGAAACTGTACATGCCGGAATCCGATCTGCATCCGGGCAATCACTGACTTAACACCATGCTGAATTAATGCCCTATTTTCGTCTTAGGGCACGTCGTCTTGGACTTACCTAGGAAAGGGAAGGGTGAGGGAGAAAGGGAGAGAGGGTGGGAGGGCTTAAGAACACACCGTCGGGGCGTCGGTGTAAAAAGTGCGGAGCGGAAAGGGGGAGAGCTAGAACTGCGAGACGGGGAAAGCAATCGTGCGAGTGAAACCGCTCCGTGTGCCAGCGACCACCCAGGCGGCGACGGCGCATCTTCCGCCAACCTCGCTGCGCTCCCTCTAATTTCTGGCCCACGAGATTAAAAGGCAGGAATGAAACTGGCGATTTCGATTAAACCCTCAGTGTGTTTGTCTGCTCAAGGCGAGGACTGCCATTCACCAGGAGTGTTCACTGTCTAGGTTTATGCATTCGTGATCGTACAGGGGCCCTCGCTCCCAATGGTTTCCTTCAGCTTACTTGCTTTTTAATTTCTGCATGGCATTTACGAAGACTACGACACACCAAGTCGGACTTGAACCAGCCAAGTTTTGCTTTACTTCCTCTAAAAACAGTGATTATGTAGTGGCGACAACGCGAGTTCAAAGTTTCCATTCCTGTTTTTTCCCGTTTCCGTTCTTTGTACTTGAAACCGAAGAAAATTTGGGCCTGGTTAGTAGCCCCCTTTGTATATTCTGCGTTTTGTGTTTTCGCGAACTGAAATCACAGCGACGAATCGACAAATCGAGGAATCTTCATGCTTATACATTCGTGAGGGTTAATGTTCTCCTGTGCTATCCCTCGTGTCAGTGTCTCCTGTAATCCTGGTACAAATAAACACTGCTCTTAAGGATCTACCGAAACTCTGAAAGTGCCAGAGCCAAAGACTATTTCGCTGTATAGCAATGTTTTGGATGAGTGTATTTTCATTCATTGCTATCCAGGGACAAACAAACTGGCTGTAACCCACAACATAACGCAATATTGGCTATTTTGCAACCTCTAACCAATCACAATCTGAGTCTCGATCGTTTTGAGCAAACCAGAGCACAAATCTTGAAAACCCGCCGAAGTGCATTTAATTAAACACAACGCATGCAATGCTATGAGGGGTAAAGGTGAGGAGCACCAGAGGCATGGGGAGAAGGGTGGAGAGTTGAGCAACAGTAAACGCGCAACGTGTCACCTACCGCCCTGGGCTCGCATTTGTCCCCTCCATTTCCCCCAACCTTTTTGCCCACCAAATGGGAATGAGTGTGGGTGCAAGGGAGAGTGTGTGTGTAGGGATGCGGACTTTTTGACTCGGTGAGTAGATTTCTGTCGTGTGTTTTCAGTTGCCGAAGTCAGAGTCGGTGATGATCACCTCGTAAGCGGAAAATGAGTCAATATTACCCCAAACACCGTCATTCCATTGCCAGCGACAACCTCACACAAGCACTACTGACAACACGCAACTATCACAACTGGGACGTGAGCGAAAAACCGTTGAAATTAACAGATGCGGTGTTTGCTGAGACTTTAATGAAGAAGCGCGCCTGTTTACGCAGGCCAGGCAGCATACAGTGACAGTTTAATAGGCTGATTCACCAAGTTGTAAACAGCCGTATTCGATTCTTTAACGAAAAACCTTCCTTCTCAACTATCTGACATTGGTTGATGCAGGACGCACATAACACATTGAAATCTGGGACTCCCATGAAATTTACTTGTTTTTTTAAAATATATCGATATTTTTTAAAGTAGAACTAAAAAAGGAGGCTTTTGTGATTGGATAATAAGATTTCAGAAGGTTGCTCTCTGTGGGGAACCTGGTAATCAGAAACTAATTAATAATCGATATTCATATAAAGTGGTACAATTTCACTTGTGTAAATCAAGGTCATTACAAGGAGAGACAGACTTATTGTTGAACAAACCACCAATCATGACCGATTCGAGACGACAGTGGATAAGAACATGATTGGTAGTTTGCTGCCTTCTCCGGATTTGCACAAAACTCGCAAACAGGTGCATCTCGAATCTGGGTATCTTGATTCTAAGCTTATCTGTTTGCAACGCACCGCATGGCGACGAAGTAATCTACAAAAGGTTACTTTGGCGCGTTACATGACTAATACCACGATGACAGCATAGTGTGCTCCTCATTGGCGTGTCTGAATCCAGAGATTTCTGACTATTCAGCAAATGTCTGTGAAGAGGCAGGTTGCAGTGGTTGAGATGGTGTGTTCCGCGAATTGTGCCCACATAGAAACTATTTGCGAAAAGCTCCTGTACCAGTCAGGAAAGGTCAAGCAGGTGCTGCCTGTCAGCTCTCTGAACCTGTCCATCAGCTGTGCACAGTCAACGGTGTCTGCCATGAAACAGACGGAAAGGTTAATGCCTTTTCATAACACCGCTGCAACAAGGCTCGACTGATGTTTACAAAAAAAACTTTTCAGCACGGTGCAATCACCTTCGAATCATTACAGTGGCGGTAACCCCATACACGAAGGCCAGAAATCGAACTTGCCTTTGGGTCGATAATTCGACCTTGTGATCCCTGGAAATTGGGTCTAGGAAGTCGTTCGTGAGCATAGGTTTCAGATTGTGTGTCCACTAAGTAACTATCAATTCTGCGCGTTAACAGCACGAAAACCAAACGAATCCGAATGGTCCACACATGTTTGATTCACAAGGCATGCACATATTTTGAAGCCTCTAACTTGCCATTTTGTTTCTTAAAACTATGTGACTACCTTAAAAGCCCAATTGTGGGTTCGTCAAGTTTTACTTGAAGAGGTCCATTGGAATCAGTAGCTTCTGCTTTGACAAGTTTTACATCCACCACCCTATTCACCATGTATCCCACCCACTTCAGCGCGCACTCGTGTCAGCAGCGTTAACTGTCACAAACCACTGTGGCAAAACCTTGTGGTTGGTTTTTGAACCGGGGACATGACCGAATGACCAATCAAAGCACAAAAATCTGCCTGTTTCTGATTACCACGTGATGCTGTAGGTATCATTCCACCGAACGTTTAATCCTGGAGTTTTATGCGCATAGAAAACCATGTGTGATATCTCTGACAGCCGGTTAACTTCATTCTAGCGTATTTGTGCACTTGTCTTTCACTTTCACCTGCTATGGAAAGACATCGATGCTTGTTGTGAGTTAGTAAACCAACTTCTAAACTGCCGATATCCCTAATTCATTTTTTTACCAAGGCACTTGGTGGATCTGTTCCGAGAGGCCAAAATCCCACATATGTGTCAGTCGCGTTACTCGAAATGTGTGTTTCTGCACACAAAACACACCTTTTACCATCCCAACTCGAGCTTATATTTTGCTCTAAACACACCATTTCATTTCACTCGTTTTCTTCCACACCTCATACCTTTCTTCTCCCACCACAAGGGGGTCTGTGGAGGAAAAACGATGTCCAGGGAAGGGGTGCTGGACACGTTCCCGGGGCGATGGTAGCCATCACGCCTTGGCTCTCTCGCCCACTTTTACTCCTCTCATTTTTCTCGCCCACTGTGACAAGAGCGTGTTTTTCCGCTGCTGGCAAAAGACGGACAAATCAAGTGGCGTTGCTTCGGGTAAAAAAAAACACTTTCCCACTTAAACCAATTCAGACGGTTCGCTGTGTATCATGGACACACAATAGAGCTCTACTCGATTCACAACCTCGCAGGCATCAAAAACGCCAGGGGATAGTGGCTGAAATAGGTGCCATTGTTCTAGAAGCAATCATTGTCTAATTGAATACTCCTTCTTGGGCCTGCTGCAAAGATATTCCACATCTAAATTGAGTGTCGCTAAACGTCACCAACGGAACAGAGCACAAACCACTAACCGGGCTGATTAAACTGCGTACACTTTGCACAAATTTATTGAATTTTGAACTTTTTCTTTTCAGTGCAGTCTGGTGGGGTGATGGGTTTGAGGCAAAATTAAGCTTCGATTTGCCCAAAACCGCTGGCCTCCCAATTGTCACTTGTAGTCGTGATTTCTGCTAACGATGGAAGAAATTCCGTCATTTTCTCACCATTCCGTGGAGGTGCTCGTATTGCGGGTGGTCGCAGTGCGGTGCTCTCAACGGTCAGTTCCCGCTGATTGACGTGGAGCAGAGATAAGGCCTGTTCCCATCAGTGTTCTGGTATGCGCGAGGGTGATGTCACCTGACGTCTTTGTCACCTCCCACTGAATGTCCGTCATCATTTTGATTGCCCACTTAATCACTCCACATCCCCTTTGTTGGCGGTGTACGCAACCATTTTTCTCAAATTCCGGAAGATGTAATTACGCCGAGTAGATGATCAAAAATGAGCAATGCGGAATCACAGGTGATTGTCGAACATTGGCAAACGACTCCCATGCTTGAGTATGCTCTCAGCTCTGCAGAAGACTGTATTAGATTGAGTGATCGCCATTAAGAATGTGCGTTCCTAAGGAGCGAACCCATCTGAGTGAGATGACTTTGGCATATACCAACTTTCAGGCCATTCAGCAGCTAAAACTCCTTGGTATTCCACTTTTGATTTCGTAGAAAATCTGCGTGAGGTTTCTCTCTAGGTAATTGGATGCTGTGTCAACTGACAACTAGCACCCAACTCGAAGATGTTCCATGAAAAGCTGCTGTCGAGGTTTCATGATCAAAGCCTTCTGAGTTAGCAATTTTGTATTTTCTCATCAGACTTGTGTCTACAACGGAGAATGTTACCTCTGTAAACGGAAGTAGTTGGATTTAATGGTGGTTGGATAGAAGTCAGCAGTGGTTTGGAAATGACGATCGTCTTCCATTGATGAAAGATCCTTTACCCAGGCACGAAATCTTCCACATCTGTGGTTGCCGATCAAGACAACCTAACGTCTGCCGCTTGAAAGCATTCGTTGTCGCCTCAATATACGGCCACAGGTTTCTAGAACACCATGAAGAGTGCTTGAACCTCATAGACCCTACCTGTGTTCCGTACGAGGTTCAGCAAACGATAGGCGTTGTTTGTTTCTTCATGGCCTGCTTAATCGACTCAGAAATTTCCACCGTTGCTTTGTTGATCCCTAGTTCCTCGCCAACACACCATTCATGAGGATCGTGGGAGAGAAACCCCCAGTAAACGTTGATAATGACGGTCCTGCTTCAAAGCGTGCAGACATTTGATGGACTTAAAATCAGTCATTTGACTGTAGAAATCGGTGCTAATTTGACTTACCTGAACGCATAGCATGAGTATTCCAACCACCAAACTTGTTCAGACTACGTTGACCATCCAAAAATGATAGTAGTATGTGCATGTTCTTGCAAGTTTGTCAAAAAGAGCGATATAAGTGCAGACTAACAGTTGAGTTATTGCCTAGAATCTGCTGGAAGCGTCCTCGCACTGTCGAAATGCTGCCGTCCCAGCTCCCTACTTTGTTAGTCTTCTGCACGAAATTTGTTTCACAATATTTCGGATTCACTACCGCATGATTTGAATTTGTTGGCTAATTAACAGCTAACATTACTTGTCTCTCCGATTTTGTATTTTGTCGCCTCTCCGATTTCACCCCAAAGATCCTGGCGCCGATTGTTCGAGGGGGAGATAACGACAAGAAAACAGTGTGTAGACGGCGTCAGGTTGGAGCCATAGTGTGCCAGATTGACAGGCGACCAACTGCCATCCACCACCCCTAAAATGTACTCGAAGCGACGAGGTGGTGAGTCGAGGAGCCTGTCAACAGCGTGTGTTTTCGTCTGACAGCCTTCAAGTACTCATCCCCTCGTCCAGCATTCCTTGAGTTGTCGAGGTGACTCACTCCCGAGCATATCTGTTTAATTAGCGCTCTACTGACGGCTGTCAGCTTCGTCCAGCAGATTCGAAAGTGGTCTCGATTTTGAGTTGAGTAAATATGCATGGTTAGCCCTAGTTTGTTATGACCAAATATTCTCGCGCACACTGAGACTACCTCGAAGCAGGCAACGTCAGAATGAGCATTCACGTTTAGTGGACTCCTTCAAATTTATCTCCTACGGGAAACTATGTTTCTGGGACTTGATTTCACATTTCCACACATCAAGTAGCCTGCAAAGTAAACTCGCAAAATAAACTTGCACACTTTTGGCACGCCCAACAAAACACTTGCCGGTTTAAAAGTTTTAAACTACTCCTTTTCCTTTAGTAGAGTTTTTTGTTTGCTTCTACTTGCGTCATGAAAAGCAAAGATAAGTTATTTAACTTCTTGTAAATTGCAATGATACGCGACGTTAAGCCAATTAACTGAATGGCAAATTTTAACCCAATTTCAACACTTTTACAAATTTTCTGTTATTTTTTTATTCGGAATCAATTCGTGGAGGCAACGGGCGTGAACGTCAACTATACAAAATTAAGTAGTATAATCGTTCGTAACTTTTTCTGGACACTAGGGCCGAGAACAACGCAAAGCGCTATGAGTGTGCTGGAGAAGCAAGAACGACCCCCGTTGCACCAGCCCTACAGAGGTGGCACAAAAAGCGAGGTAAGTCAACCTGAAAGATTGGCACCAAATGTTTAAGCATCCTAGTTGAACTTACCACGGTGACTAACTCTTGCACTGACTACCGAATAGGGGTTAAGGTCACTCAGAAGGGGAAATGCAGAGTCTAATTTCATTGGTCAATGCTAGACTTTACCTACTTCCACTGTTGAAATAACCATTGGTCAACATTTTATGAAATCCTACTGATAGGAGTGGTCCCTCAATGTCAAACTCTCCTTCCTTGCACCATTTTGTTGAGAAAACCCCATTGAACATCTCACCTTGAATATCCCTGAGACGTGACATTGAACCAGGCAATCAGGCTTTTTTGTGTCAGCGAATGACAAGTTGGGTCAGCATTTACCATCAGGGCATGCGTTTTCTACATTACAGAATTTGCAAGCATCCGTGTGTTACAATCGCAGCGGCAGCGGCAGCAGCAGCGAAATGCGCAAAGACGAAGACCGACCAAAGTTCTCCAGTTTCCTCTACAGTGAACAGTTTTGTGGGGACAAATCTAACCGCATGCAACCAACCCAGAAGCGTCATTTGAGCGAGGCCTTCGTCGACGCAGCAGAGAACAAATACCTCACTACTGAATTCTACAAAGTAAGTGGGACTTATCAGACAGGGGTAGATTCACACCTTTTGATCCGTCCAATGACTGATTCTGGGAATTATTTCGAAATATTGTCAGATTTGTGATCTATCTTCCACGAAGAAGATTCATTGAAGTCTGTTAAGTCTATACACGTGTCACAAAATCTGTTTAACATTGCCGCCGGATCTACCAGTTCCTTAAACAAAATGTCGTCTCGCTTCGTCTGTAATCCACGTTGACTTGTGTGGAATGACCATTTGCTCAATGTCAGTTCGTGCTAATATTCCTTAGAAGCCAAAGATCACGGAGACTACTCAGTCGATCGACGACGGCAGCACGTCGACATGTTCGGAAGAGGAAAAGGACTTTGTGATGCACAATGCCAACAATCGGAAACCCTTCAGCCCACAGCCAGTGTCCTCAGCATCACCGTTCTTCGGCTTTCCCGAAGCACCACTGCTGAAACCTCCCCAATCACGTCGATCCGACGACTACCAGACGCTGCCAGCATCTGGCAGAGGTGACTTGCCAGGTCAGAGCTTCTTCAACAGCCTCAAACCGCCAGCAGTGTTTTCTCAGAGCCCAGACGACGAGAACGACGTCGAAGACGGCAGCAGCAGCAGCATCGGCTCAGAGCTCATAGTTGCCGCCTACAATGTTAGTGGTTTGAGGGCATTTCGTTAACTGCACACAAAGTCACCCTGGTCTAAATTGTTTGCAATTTCGCCGACAGAATTTCGTGCGCAAACTCGTCGACGAGACGCTGGACAGGACGGTGACCTTCTGTGAGCAGCCGCGGAATGCAATTAGCGCGTTGGAGCGGATCTGTTCAAAGGCTTGGCCGCAGCTGGAGACGAAACGCCACCGCAACCGCATTCGCGCCTACCTGAAGGCGTGTCGAAGGAACTCCAAGAAGAACCGCGGTCAAATCAATATGAAGGAGCCGCCCATGAATGGGCTGTCGGTTGAGGCGAGGCAAATGGTCGCCACAGCGCTCAACCTCGTCATGAAGGACATCGAGCAGTTGAGACAGGTGAGTTGGCTTGACATTTCACTTGGTTGAACAACTGTGGCAGTCGCGGTGGCGGCGGTGGTGGTGGCGATGATCTAAAGTTCCTTTTTTCGGCAATTTCAATAATCCAATGAACAAAATTCGCTAAAAGCGTCGATCGTCGTCAAGCCGTCGTTGAGGTCGAAATGCATTTCGAGCTGTTCCTGACTTTTCTGGGTTGAGCGTTGAGTGGAGAAGGAGTGTGTTGAGAAATTTGGAGGTCCCAGCATGTGGTTTTGAACCACGCCGGGTCCACGGAATTAACCCTGGCCCGATCACGCTTCCTGGATACCCGCGATGACGACAACGCGCGAAGTAAGACACAACCTTTAAACAGACTGGAGTCTGACAAAGCCTTCTTACAGCTCAAAATCTGCCATCGTTCTAGCCACCATCTTGACGTTCCAGTGAAGTAAATCAGGCAGTCTTAGCATTAGTGCGATCCTGCCTCAAATTACACTGAATGGGCCTAAAGCATCATGGTCTCCCTAAGCCCTTTATATGATACGATCGGCCCTAACTACAGCGCTATCAGACGTGAATTCCTCATTAGATTTGGTGTTCTGAAGGGGTCCGCGTGTGGTCTTGAACCACGCCAGGGCCATTGAATTAAGTTTGATCCGATTACGCTTCTCTGATACGCGCGATGACTACAACGAAGGCGGAAGAGGACGTATACGCAGCCGTTTATTTCAGAGCTCAAACACGTTGGTGTCGTTATGTCATGTGTGGGGTTTGCGCTTGTGCCTTTATACCTCAGATGTGTGGGTCATAGATGTGCTAACATCGATCAATGTGGGTGGTGACATGCTGCGAAAAGGGGAACCCTGTGTCGGAGGATGGAGCGACCGTATTAAGGAGTGTGTATAAACACGATTCACAACAAGTGCAATCAGTGACTTTTCGAGTAACCAAAAACGGCTCAAATTTGGAGAACAATTACTTGAAGTGGATTCGAAGTAACTATAGCGTAGCTAGCATCGAGTTGGCTTTAAATGCACGAATTTCATTAGTAAGCGAGCCCACGTGCTTTGCAATGTTCACACAATTCAGTTTCAACAATAGCAATTTTCACACTTTCTGGTGCCGAAATATCTCATTTCAACTGCTATTTTGGATAGAAAGCTTATTCTTTATTCTACAAATGACAGACTTGCATACACTTTGTTCCACACCATTCGTCAATTCAACAAAATGCAGCTTATCTTCAGTGTAGTTTCACGAGCAGCCTCAGTAATCTTAGCAAGACGTTTGTATTTAAGGACCTCAAGAGAGACAACAGTCCATCGGTGTTCACAGCAAAGAATGGGACCCTACCGCCGAACCTGCGCCGACACGGACAATTCTGTCCCACCTCGAATAACTCCAAATCCCTCCTCGGATGTGTCCCCCACACGACATCCTCCACCGCGTCCCCCTACTCCACCGCGACCTCCTCAAAGTCCACCCATCGAAACGCCTCCACCGACGACAGACATTACCCGCCGACAAAGTCCACCTACCACCTCCCGCCACCTCTTCCGCCGTTTCCGCCTCCGGCTGGTCTCGATGCAGACTGCGTCTCAGCAATCATGCGCTTCCTCCCATCCACCTTCCACTTCGGCGTGGATCTTGGTGCTAGTTTTCGCTCTGCCGCGATGCACACCGCCATGCTGATGAACAGTGGACTGACGACGCGCGAACATGCGGCGGATGAGGAGGCAATGAGGAATCGATACTGGGCGGAGGGGAAGCGCGAAAAGAGGGAGGTGCAGGCAATGCTGCCCCCACCAGCGGCGCATTTTGCCGTCTCCAAGTACTCCCCGACTCTGAACGAAGCGACTTCCATGCTTCTGGACGTCCGGCCCCTATCACAGGTTCGTACTTACTTCACTGTGCAGAGATGAGTTTTCTCACCAATGTGTACAGTTTGCTATTAGCCAATTCAGCAAGACGGTCAGAGCTACTTGTGTAATGAAACACCCACGCATGTTGCTTCTACTGATCGAATTCTAGTTAAAGGAGTCAAGCGAATGCTTAGATGCCACAGTTGTTTTGTCTAAGACCGAATTTTGTGGTTTTTGTATCAACCGTCATCTCAACTGTCGTGCTGACCACCACCCCGACGTGCTGCACTACTAAAATTGCTTACACTGAAGTCATGAATGGAAGGGAGATGTGAAGCATTTGATTATAAAGGATATATATATATATATATATATATATATATATATATATATATATT